ACGGCTGATACACAGGGACCGATCAAGACAAATTCAGGCCCAAGGTCCACAAAATTTTCCGGGCCCCTAACAAAATATTTTGAAATTAAATTTCTGAAGAGTAGTCCTAACAATAAAAAGTATCTATTGAACTGCATGATTCAAGAGAAATATTCTAAGAAACTTTGAAAGCAGCCAATTGAAGATTATTTTTCTAAGCTAAAGTTTAAGCATCTAAATATTAAAGCAAAATATAAAGCAACAAAACAATGTTGTACGAAAATAAAAATAATTTGGTGACCACAAACAATTGAAATCAGTGATTTTCGCTATAAGTCACTGATCAGCTGAATTATTTTAAAGATTGTAGCCTTCCATCTTCCATCTACAGTTTTGCATATTTGTTAAGAATAAGCTTTTAGTTTTTGTTGACAATAATCATTTATAAGAGACTTTCAAACATGCAATATCGTTGCATTTGCTTAAGCCGTTGGAGTAAAAATTGCACCCATTAAAATTCAACTGCACTTACGAATTTGATGAGTGCAATGTTTACACGAGTTTGTTTTATCACAATAAAAAGAAAATTTGAAACAAAAAATGCCTTTTTTGAGAAAAACTGTTTCTTTCAGAACTTTTTTTTAAAAGTAATATTGTGGACTTTTGACTAATTTTTGAAGCCCCCCAGAAAGTGTGGGCCCTAGGCCCGTACCTATTGGGCCTAGGTGATAATCAGGCCCTGCTGATACAACATGTGGACCACAGGTGATGGTACAGTATAGTACACCGTGAGCAAAGGGTTAAATCCCCTTCATTGATGGATAGTTTTACAATAAGTTGGCATAAGTCTACTTATAAAGAGTGAAAAAAAATTTATCTATATTTTTAATTTACGTATTTTACACAAATACGTATTTTGAGGAACAAAAGCTAAATATCTCCCTTACATTAAAAGGAGAAAAAAATTTTCTTTACGATTATTTTAATTAGGAGTCTTGATGTAATATATTTATCTTAACTAACATTCGAACGATTCTTTCCATTCATTTCTCTCTTTTTCCTTCTCCCTCCTCGCTTCAGTGACGTCGCCTGTGTGTGACGTCAGCTATCCTTTCCTTCTTTCTTTTGCTCATTGTCAAGGATTTATTTTTTAATTTGAATTTTTTTAAACTTATATATGCTGTTTAAAATTTTCCGTAATGTCAAATTTAATAATGCAAACGTATTTGCTACTAGGTGAAAATTAAAAGAGTACATTTAGCTTATAAAATCGTTTCGATTCGAATTTCAATTTGGGTATCTCGGTTTAATTTTTTTTATTCTGAACTCATAGATTTTAATTTCATTTTATTTCAGATAATAATATTAAAATCGAATTCGAATTTATAATTTAAACGTATTTACTCCTGGGTGAAAATCAAAAGAGTATATTCAACTTATAAAATCGTTTCGATTCGAATTTCAATTTGGGTTTTTCAATACTGTTTTTTATTTTTTATTCTGACCATATTACTTTTTAATTTAATTTTCTTTCAGATTGCATTTAGTATTTTAAAATTAATTAATGCCTGCGGAAAATAAAAAAATGATCAATGAAAAAGAAATCGAAATCATGCTTTTTTGATGTAAATTTCTATTCTCGGTTTTTAAATATGTGCATGTAATTGGAATTGGATGGATTAAAATCTGACGATTTTTTTATCTCGGACAAACGACTTTTTAAAAAAATTTTTTTTGTAAAGAATTTATTAGCTTTGTTGGCTTAGATGTTAGTGTTTTCCAAAGATAAATGCGATTGTTATGTATAATTGCGTTATAATAAGTTTAATATTACAGGAATAAGTCTAACGTTTTATCTCAAATAAAATTTGAACAATTAGCAATTTTAAAATTTTTTTCCAAAATGACCATGTCAAATTTCTTTTTGATTTTTTACCTATTTCCATCCAGTGGCGGATCCAACGACGGGGGGGGGAGGTCATGATCCCCCCCCCAAATTGAGAAAATAAATAAAAATAATAATTTTTTTACTAGTTTACAAAAGAAATAAAATATTTTAAGAAATATTTAAGTGGGCAAATGCACCTAGGTAGGTCGGAAAAATCGTTTTTTTCCCCCCATCTAATTACGTTCTTCACTGTTTCAAGAATCACAATCCAAACGATTAAAACGAAATTCGTCATAGTTTCATTGTAAACATTAATAATGTTGCTCGATCCAAGCTCGCTTCAACAGGATTGTATAAAGGTGACCAAAGATTGTATAAAGGTGAAGATGGGAAACTTGTGAAACTCGTAACTAAAATCTGGCACCATGTTTGAATTATTAATACTCGAAATATTTATGTATTGTTCTATTGTTCATTATGAAAAAAATAAATGAGAAGACTAGCATTAAAAACCCCAGTTTTTTTTTTAAAAAAAATATTTAAAAAAAATTAATTATGAGGGATTAATTATAGGATCTGAGTCTATGACCCATCCCACAGGAAAAATTTCTGGATCCGCCCCTGTTTCCATCCTATAAAATAACTTTAAGGGTCGTTCTCCTGGTGATAAACTATTCAAATTTTTGGTGTCTGCATGATGATCACTTTTTACACGAGAATATATTTATTTAAAAAAATATATAACACGATGTTGTTTATTTATGGATTTTTAATATCATTTATAAAAAGCAAGGGTCTCAAGGGCCGCCTGAATGCTTGGGGCGTCCGGTGTGCCCAGTCCGGTATGCTATTTTAGGAGAGAGGAAATGGGCTAGTGAAGCGATCTTAAAAGTAAAAAAAAAAAAAAAAAANAAAAAAAAAAAAAAAAAAAAAAAAAAAAAAAAAAAAAAAAAAAAAAAGAAATGTAGCTAGCAGTTCCCAGAGTTGGCAATAGATAGCAATACAAGATAAATGAGAGAACATTAGGTTTTGACTATCTCTTATCTAAGTTGAAGATTTTTTTTAATATTTATTTTTAAAATAAATCCTTGTTTTAAAGATTCTATTTCTTAAAACTGTTCGATCGATTTTGTTGAAAATTTGTAGTATGACATAAAAAAAGCAAAAACACATTCTTTAAAATAACGTAAAAATTTGAATACCATACAATTTAAAATTTTTCAGTTGTTATTAAATAATATTAAAATTATAAGCAACTATAAAAAATAATTTCGTGCATGCAATCTATTTTGGAAAAACAAATTTTATGCTTGCAGAATTTTTAAAATGCTCTAGGTATGGTATGCACAAAGTAAAATTAACATTAAAGGGTATGTTTATTCAGAGAACGTACTTTTTTTGGACCTGATTTCGTAACTTAAAATACCGTGTGCACTTATTAATTAGCATATTTAAAGTTAGGGTTTAGAAAAATTAAGAGTGAGTTTTAGTACCTGAAAATTTGAGGATTAAATCAAAAATTGTTATTTTAAAGTTTTCTGGTTTTTTCTTCCTTTTTTTAAATTAATTAATTTATTTATTTTGCGCATTGTATATTTGTTTGGAGTACAAGTTCAGAAACAGTGTTCCTGAACTTTTCACTTGTATAAACATTATATATAAAATGAAACATTATATAAGAATATTAATATGGAAAAACATTTTCATAGCCTGCTCTGCCGTGCAATAGTTAAATCAACGAAAACATTTGAAATTCATAACTGAGATGTTTATATATTTGTATGATGAGCTATTTAACGCAAAAATTTTGTTTTCAAAAAAAAATTTTGAATTTGGAAAATTGAGGATTATTTTTATTAACAAAATTCAAACTACTCAAAGAAAATATTTTTGAAGGAAAATTCAATTTAAATCTTCATTATACAGTAATTTTGCAATAATAATGCAATATTATTTTTAGAAAAGCAAATAGTTAATAATTATAATTAGGAGGCCTGTGACAAATCAGAAACTGACCGTTGGACACGTGCCCCGAATGCTCTCCCGTAAATAAATTTCTAAATGTGATATAAATTCTTTATATTTTATAAAATTTTAAAAAGTTTGTGCTTATTTTAAAATGATAAAAAATAATTAATAACAGTTTTTGTGGTTCAAAAATGTTAAATAAAAAGAAAATTGTTGTTAAATTTTAATTTGAATTTTACACAATTATAGTTTAAAAAATTAAAAGACTCCATTCAGTGTTATAGGCTTTAATAAAGTAACTGAAATTTTCTGAAATTGGAAGAAAAAAAAAACTATTAAAAAATGAATCCATAGATTTTATTTTTAATTGAAAAAGCTGGAATATTAAGAACAAAATCTGGAGTGAATTGATTTTTTTTTCGTTCTTAATTTCTTTTAAAATTCAGATTAATTAAAGAAAAAATAATATTTACAATAACGGCTTTATTTGAGTTTTAGTTCTTACAAGTTACATTTTATTGAGTATTGATTTGTGCCTATTTAAAATTTCTGCGAAATAAATACATTATTTCGCAGTACATATACATAAATACATATCTTTACTTTTCCCGTACTTTCTCTATCAACTTTTTTTTTTATCCATTTAAAAAATAATCTGCAGTGCTCACACCGTGCTGCATATTTTTTTAGCTGTCTCCCCCTTTTTTATCCTTCCCCCTCCATCAACGGGGAAAAAAAATTATGGTCGAAGCGCTTTTCCAAAAAATATACATACCTCAATGATTTATGCATGGAAAAAAATAGAATTTTTATATATATTTAGTTTATTGACTAGAAGAATATTTAAAATAAATGAGTGATAGATTATAAATAAAAGAAAACTTTAAACATTCTTTTTTACAATTTAAAAACGTAAATGAATAATAATAAAGGGCAATGTTTGTTTCGTTTTAAGCTGGTAGATCTATTTCATTCTTATGAAAGATCCGCATAGATGTATCATTCTCAGCTACGTCAAACTTTCCCTACCCTGATTGGTTGCTCTTTCAATGAAGTCAGAGCGTGGCCGCGACAAGGTTGCCTAGTTCATCAGCAGATTACGTCAGCGCTTGAAAGTGAAATGCAGAACTGAAACAGGTTTTGGTAAAATAAAATAAACTTTTTCATTGCTTTTTATATATGCAGTAGTGCCATTTGACCGGCTTGAAAAATGTAATGCAGATCAGCCCCTAACAACAATGCAAGCATATTCAATATTTTTTAAAATTTATAAATAAAGTTATTGTTGTATAGACCTAGCAGAAAATTACAAGATCTACTACAACCAATAAGACTGTACAACTCCAGACATTCTAGGCACGTGATTAAAAACCTAACCAATCGCAGCTCTTAATTTTACTAGCTCTGTTACTCATTCACCATTTTTAGGTCAAGAAACAGCTACGAGTTGGGAGCTCGTGTTGATTATGTGGTTCTCCAGAATTTCTGACGTTTTGTAAGTTAAATGCAACTCTGCTATTTGTTGTCTTACATTGCATACGCTAATGTGATTGCTATAAGTCCTGACTGCGATGTTTTGGAGTTGCAATTGTCCACTCCATATCTTGCAGAAAATAAAATAGCAATGTTTTGTGTTGTCGATCCGCATTGAGGGACAACGGCAAAAGTGTACGTGAACTACTGTCAAATGTTGTGTTGAAAGTAAACAAGTCTTTTCTTGTTATCGTGCCCATACAATACAAATATTTTTTTATTTGAAGTAATTTATGGTGTGCAATAGTTTTAAGGAGTAAACATTTATTTAATAACTTAAATTATAAATCGTGTTCCTGTGTTTATATATAGGCATGACCTAGCATTAACGTATGAAAATACGATAACAAAAAAGCATTGGTATACGACTTGGCATACAAATAATACAAGCAATAATTGATGGCAAATGTATACGAACTAAACAAGTAAAAATTATCTGGGGCATATTTTATTTGTGATTTATTTTGTATGCAATAAAATTATTTGATTTAAAATAGTAGTTGGAGCTAGCAAAAACATTATGAGAAGGAAAATTAAGTATCACAACATCAGTTATTGCAACTGAAACATATTGCGATTTTAAGTAATATATTTTTCGACATTATTAATTAAGGGAAACTTATCTTTACATCCTGATTGTACTCTTTATTTTTGAGAATTTCTGATTTATGTCTTATTTTTTTTTAAGTTTGAAGAAGTTGCAAGTTCATTTGAAGAAGATTGCAATTTATTAATTGTTTAATTAATTTTAAGATCTCCAACATTTCCTTTCTTAATTCTTCAAAGTTGTCGTTAATGAAGTGTCTTAAGATATCCTTAATTAATAAAAATTGGTATATTATAACGAAATGAACATTGAAACCCTCATAGTGTGTAAAGTATGATATTAATCTACTTCTATTGTTGACGACAATTACCCTTAATTTGATTGCATGAAAGTTTTCCATGTTAAAGAAATATATTTAAAGCTCCTATTCCTTCCTTTATCACTGTATCTTACTGTTTTTAATGGGAGAATCCCCATATTTTGCTATTGTCTTATAATTTTCCTTTTTTAAAGTATTTTTTCATTCCTTTTTTTATAAAAACAAAAGAAAAAGTTTTTTGCTTTATTTCTTTTTTTTTAACAAAAATCTTAGTTTTCTTAAAGTTGTTTTTTCTCTCTCAAGTAGCAAAAACAAAAAGCTACTTAAACTATCACCAATTGTATATCTGCGAATCTATGTCTATGTTATACTAATTGCTTGACCATTGGTCATTAATCTTTCTTAAATTTGAGGCAATCTAGTTCTCAGTGTTTATATTTTTAACTTCTAGCCTTGTATTTTTAATTTTATAAAAGGTATTAGATTAAAAATAGTTCAAGTCTAAAGTACTGAAGTGATATTTCTCGGATAAGAGTAAGGCGATTATTCTAAGCAGTTACCTAAATCTGTAATAAATATGTGAGAAATATTTTAAGTTTTGTCGCATGACCCTGTGAAGTAGGTACAGGCATAAGCTTAAGTACTGATGTAACACACTGGAAATTTCATTTAATTTTATTGTTTTTTTAAAAGGCAATTTTTTCTAATCGGTACCTGTTCACACGTATTAAAATACCTTTTTTTCTTCAACATAGTGTTTAGTGCCTCATTCAAGTATCTTTATGTACTAAAAATTTACTTGTTAGAAAATAATACAGGGTTTGAGATTTTTTGGATTTAAATCTGATTTTTTTTAAATTCAAATACAGGGTAAGAACCTTGATTTATGATTAAAAAAACTTTATAAATGTTTAATCAAAATTAAATTAATATTAAAACTATATTATAACAGTATTTTAGATGCTCTAACTACCTAAAACAATTTTTCATTATAATACATAGCTTTGAATGCATAGCAACCAAATGCATGATTGAAATTTAAAGACTAGATGAAATAGAGATTTTAAAACCCTATTTTTGGCATATTAGGGTAATTTCTTTTTAAGATAACCTCAAACTTTAGAAATATACATTTTAAACCAATAAAATATGTAGATTTTAATTCCATGCTTTTCAAAAAATCAAAAGGTAGAATTTTAATTAACATTGTTTGTATTTTTTATTGAAAAAAATTCATGCTTAATAATTACTTTTTACAGCTATGCAAGTCTATAGTCTATATTAAGACAACATTAAATGTTTACTTTAATCTGTACTTCTTTAATCTCAATCAAAATATTTTTAAAAATGTAATTTCAAATGTTTTGAAATTTAACACACACCAAGAAAGAAAGTAATTTCGTTAACTAAAATTAATTGAAATAAATTTTAAAACTAAGAAAAGTATCAATAATTTAAAACACTGTTTTTTAACTTTTTAAATCAATATATGTATATATAAATCTGTTGATTTAAATCAACAAACCATGAAATAATATAAATATATATTCAAAATAATTTTGTTTAAATATTTAACTTAAGTACTTAGTAAAGTAACTTAAGTAATCAAAAGAGTGACTAGAAATTAAAATTAAACTACTCAGTAAAAGCTAGATAGTAAAAGCTATGTATAATGACTTTAAAATAATTTACCTGAATGTTTTTTTAATGATATCTGGTCAAGTCAAACATTTATGTATTATATATTACTTACCATAAAATTATTCGATGAAATTAAATTCCTACCAGCAGTTCTTATTTATTATGTCGTTTAATAATTTTGTGTCTATGGTGTTATGAATGTACATACGACCGAATTAATTCAATAAACAAAACAACTAATTTAATTTTAAGCTGCTTTTAGAATCTGTGTTTGCAGTAAATAATGGTTGCAGTAACTTGTTTCCTTGTTGTAAAATTTTCCTCACAAATTCTCTTTCTCCTTCATTACTAATTTAAAGTGTAGAAAAATGAGCTCAGACAAACCTAGAGTAAGCCACAAAGTTTCAAATACTGAAAAGAAAATTTTAAAAAACTAAAAAGGAAAATAAATAATGAGATGGTAACTTAGGATTATGCAAGGAGAAGTTCTCTTTGCATAATTTATTTGTATTTTAATATTTTGAAGTATTTTGTTTTTAACTATTAAAACTTCATGACCTACTCTAGGTTTTCCTGAACTTACTTTTTCTTTCTTTTAAATTAGTAATGAAGGAGAAAGAGAATTTGCAACTAAAATTTTTTTCCACGGTATGACGTCCTCTTAAGAGACAATATGTCAGTAGCTAGTCAAAAATATGAATTGAGGGCTGTAAAAAATAATAATAAAATTAATTTTATATTCGAGTCTATTTAATGCCAGTCAGAAATTGCATATTGCAGACAAATTAGTAGTTATCTGTTTGATATCTAGTTTTTGCATTTCCTTTTCTTTTATTGATTATACAAAGTTCCTTAAAATGTCCAAGTTGTGGAAAATTTTATACAGTAGGGAACCGATTATCCGGAACGATCGGGACCATCGCTATTCTGGATAACTGATTTTTCCGGTTTTCTGAATCGCTACAAAAAGCCGTTAAAAAAAATATAAACAACTGTCTGAGTTACGAAAAGCAAAAGATTTCCTACCTATTGCATAAATTAATCGAAACAAGAATGAAACTGACCAAGAAATCTTTTGCAAGAAAATTGCAATACTGCAAATTTTACCTACAAACTGAATGAAATTCAACTTAGTTTTCCGCACACGTTTGTGGGATTCATAGATTTTTCCCACTGTAGAAGAAACTTGCTATTCCCAATTTAAACAATTGTTCCAAGATTGATTTTATTATTAACATTTTTGATTGCAATGCTTTTTCTTTTCTTCTCTAGATTGGATCGATTTTCAAAAATGCAACTATGAATCGGCGGGGTGAAAACAAACACAAAAAGGCAGGAGGTGTAGCTGGTAAAACTGTTGCACCTTCTGCCAGGACCACACGAAGCAGGAAGAAAAACACCCACACTGAATCTATGAGCGAAGATAAGAGTGAAGGGGACGCTATTCCCACAATTTCTTCCCAATGCAACAATCCTGATTTATGCATCGATGAAACGGCAGCTTTTTCACCTCCTTCTCCTAGTGTAACTGAAACTTCCTACAATATGGTAGAGAGTCGGTCTTCGTTGGTACAGTGTAGCAACAAGTTGGAATCTTTGTACAAAAGGATGTCACCATCGCCACCTAAACTGGAATGCATTCAAACGGCAGTGGTCGTATCTCATCCCGTGGAACAACCGCGATTCTCGAATGTGTCGGATAATAACAGTTTCAAGGAAGAAGAAAATCTTAAACTGCTGGCTAAAAAGGTGCCAAAAAAGCGAAAATTCAATCCTGTGGACGTTGAGGACATCGTCAATTGCAGCAAAGAGATCAGTAAATCTTGCGAGCCTTCTAGTGTCATCACTAGAACTACTAATCAGGTGACTAATCAACAAACATCCCCTATTCAATACCCTTTTTTGTCACCAAATAATGTAAATATTGACTTGAAAGACTGGAAAGGACAAAGAGTTCTTGCTAAGTCTAATAACATTTATTTGCCTGGTGTTATAAAAGAAATTAAGAACGACTGTGATATTGTTGTGATGTTTGACAAGGACCAGACAACAATTTGCATATTGGACGTTTTGGGAAATGGAAAGTATGATGTCATTAGTGATCATAGTCCTTCACCGAGTCATATGAAAATTGGCATTTGTGTGTGCGTAAGAGTGAATCAGGATGATAATGTTTTTGTTGTTGGAGAAATAATTTCAATCAGCCCGAAACCCCCAGTTCAGTATAATGTTAAAATAGAGCACTCTGCTGATTATGGCTGGAAAGAGGCAAATGTCTGGGTTTCGCGGGCAAATCTTAGACTACTCTTACCGCCTTGGTGGGAAGAGCTTGATATTAACCCCCCACCTTCATTGCCTTTTTTAACAATGCCATCACAGCTTATTCAAAACAGTCTGCAAATCAAGCCTGCGGAAACCAGTGATAACTTGACCTGGGGAAATTGTGCTACTCCTATAGAGCACTCTTTAACTCCATCAAGTGCTTTTACCCAAGTTATTACGAATCGACAGAACTTTCCCAACATGCTGGGAGAATCTGAACTTTCTGAAGGACAGCCTTTGAGGATGACTCCGTCTGTTTCTGAGCTGTACAGCACCGTCACGCCGTCTCCTAATCGATTACAAGCGATGCCTCTTCCTAACACTTTGAATTCTAACACATCAGATCAAATGGTCCACGAAGCTGTTTTGAGTAAAAGTCCTCACTACGATGAAGATTCTTCCGACGACGACTTGAAGAGAGAGAATATCAAATTTGATCAAGATTATTTTACTTATCCATACCAGCGACCTTCTACTCTCTCCCAGGGTAGTTTGACACCTAGATCTCAGTCTCGCAAGAGCGAGACTGTTTTGAGTCGAACCAGTACCGATTCGTCAGAGTGTTTGGGTACTTCTCGCTCTCCGGCAATGCTGAATGCCAAGTATAAGAAAGGCGATATCGTTTCTACACCCAACGGCATTCGGAAAAAATTCAACGGCAAGCAGTGGCGGAGACTTTGTTCCAAAGAAGGATGCACAAAAGAATCACAGCGTAGGGGGTATTGCTCAAGGCACTTGTCTCTTCGAGGTAAAAATATCCGACCTCCCTCTCTTTCATTCCCAGGACGGCGTAAAGGAACTTTCAAGGACTCTGCGTCGGGTCGTGAGTTAGAATGGGAAGAGTCGTCTCACGACAGTGAATCGAATCCTGTTTTTTCGGAGAGGGAGAGAGTTCAGCGATGTTTTGATAGAGATGAAACAGAAGCTGCCAACATGTTGGTTTCGTTGGGCAACTCCAGGTCAGCAACACCTGCATTTTCTCCTACTCAGAATACGCATTCGATATCGCCACGGGCTTTCCAGACTCCCAATACTCATTTTACCCCCATAGCACATCCGCAGCACTCACCTACCGTTAGTGCACAACCTGGACAATGGAATTCACAAGAGCCTCAGATATTGAGTGCCATTATGTCAAACAATTATCAATCTACAGTTGCAAATTCATCCTACCACCCAGGCGCCATTCGGACAGAGGTCATTCAACATCCAGCTGCAATTCAAGAGCTAAATTCCCAACCTGAAGTGCGAGCGTCCGTTCTGCATTTGAGTACGAACCAATCTGATGCGTTTTCTGTCATCCAGAATGCCCGTCCTCTCCTAATAAGAGATACACAAGGAAATCACAAACAGGAGCATGTTATAATGAAAGCATCCAAAGACGGCACCGTGAAATTATCCGAGAAAAATGCCATCGAAGTCATATCCTCGATGGAGGATTCAGATTTTTCCCGTAATTTGCCAGATACACAAACCATATTTCTGGTTAAGAACTCAGTTAAAAGTGATGCCCAATTTCTCATGGAAGAAACTGAAGATGTAGCACCCATAAATATTCCTAATTATTCTGCCCAGAATGCGTTAGTTCGGGAAAGTAGTAAATTATTAGATAATGAGTTTTCCAAGTATATGGATGATCAGAGAGGCTGTTATAGTGTAGAAAATGACAATCCTAATCAGTATTCTCAATCATATGCACCTGTACAACTGTTACCTATTATAAATAATGAGGACCTTCCTGAGAAAAAAGATTTGACTGAAAGTGATAAGAATTCAGGTAAGTTTTATATAAAAAAAATTATCTCATTAATATTGACTAATTTTATTGAAACAAATTAAGGTATTTTTGTTCTCAAAATTTTTTTAATGGTTATACATTAAAAAATGTAAATTCAGTACCTACTTGCTCGTTTTTTTTTAAAGCGCAATTCTCATGGGTTTTTATGTGTTTTTTTTTCTTAAAAATTCAAATTAAAACTGGAGTTTTTCAGGAAGAATGTGGGTTTTCAGACAAAAAACAAATTGCTACTTTTTTATTAATACACAGCAGCCGAGTTACTGTTTAATTTGGCATCTGGTTCGAGTGATTTATGTCATCACATTTATTTAAACTGAAGTTTAAATATTTTTTTTTATTAAACTATTGATTTCGATAAATCTTTTTAAAAGATAACTCAGTAGCAAGCATAGTGAAAGAGTACTGATAACCCTGAGTTATTGAACTTTTACAAGCTTTGTAACAAATAGACTTTAAGATGTTTTAAAAGTAACAATATTTAAATTAAATAGTTTAATCAAATAAATGTAGGTAGTCCTAGAAATCCTGTGTGAGAAAAAGTTAAATAACTAAGGACCAAGAACCAAAATATTTTTGATGCTCCAGCTCCTCTTCTAGATTACAAGATGAGTTCTGGGCACACAAAGGCACCTGCTAAATATATTTATGCATACTTTTGAGTTTCAGATTTTAATTTAAAAGTTATATTGTAAAAAATTGTTTTTTAAAATTTACAATGTTCAGCTCTCACTGAAAAAATACAAATTTAATACGCAGTTGATTGTTATTTTTAATTTAATATAATAAAAAAAATAAAAATAGAGAAAATTAGGAAAAAGTAATAATAATAAAGCATTATGCAAAAGTCAGAAATTTTTCTCATTGTTTTTGCTTCTATTGTCGACAAACGTTAATGCTAGTATTTTGTAGAAATTTCTTTTTTTTAAAGATATTCCTAATATTTAGTGATGTAACAACTATAGCAGTGATAAGTTTCCTTTAAAAAAATATCTGGTAGTTGCAAATGAATTAAAATTAAAAAAGAGTAAAACTATTGGAGTTTAACTTATGTTTTCCCCTTCTAATTCAATTTATTCAAATACCGTCGACTAGAATCACCACGACAAGAATGAAGTGTATTATTTAATTTGAAACACAATGAAAAAACATGTTTTTTTCCCTCTATTTTTTAATAAGTATTATCTTATAGCTTTATTTATCCATTCACACATCTTTTGTAGCTTGGAATGATGCTAGGCCGATTCCAGTTTTTCCTTGGCATTCTTTAGTGCCATTTTTGAAGAATAATTCTGCTCCTACAAATGGCAATTCAGAGTTAAAATCATCTGTTGAACCCCTCAGTAAAGAACTGGGTTTGTATTTTTGTATTTCTAATTTTGCTTTAATTTTAAAATGTATTTTAATTCTAGAATTACAATTATTGGTGACAATTATTGAGGTATATGAAATTGAAATAAAAAATTTCCAAAATTAACTAAGTTCAAATTTTTTTATACAAAAATTAAAAGTAGATTCAAAAAGAGATTAAAGTTTAATTTATGGCATGTGTGGTTTTGATTGGCACAGAATAATTGCAAAATTTGAAGTGTGTATAAGGTCTTTATTTTGCATTACCTGCCTTTGTTTTGAATTGAAAAGTTCTGTATTTTGTAATTTTAAACTAAAAAATGAACTAACAAATTATGCATGCTCACAAAAAAATCTACATTCCTTACATTTAACGGTCTAGTTTTAACTGAATTTTGTTGATGGTTCTAAAGTAAAAAAGGCTTTTTTTTTAAAAATATATTTCAATAACTGTCACCATTTATCATTTAATTTACTTTAACATTCAGTCACAAAAGGGCAAATCTACAAAAAAGTAACCCAAACTTTTAAAATTTCTGATTTTAAGAAACTTAACATATTTTATATAATTTTAAAGTATGTGAAATGTAATGTATGTGAAATGTAATGTATTCATTGGAAAATTCAGAGTTTTTCTTTAGAAACTGAAAAATAAAATAAATTTTGTTTCTTATTTTCGTCTTTTAAAAGATGGTGACCACTCAAAGCACAATCTATGGGATATTTATTGATGATATTTTAACTTTATTAAACTATTTAATTTACTATAGCATTATTTCTTTTAAGTATATGCAACTTATTTTGCCAAAATATAAGCAAAAACGACTATTTTACAATTAATTATGAAAATTTTTTTTTTACCAATCATCTGCTGAAAAAAATAAATTCGCCATTTTATGCTTGCAATTTGATGTTATTTTGACTATCCGTTTATTCTCATAACTGCCATATTTAATTTAGAAGTATGTAACTTTTTCTATTTCTTAAATAAAATTCATGTTTTTTAAAATATTATATTTAAAATCAGTTCCAGCAGAACCAGAAGAAGGAGATGACGATGTTTTTGCAACAGCTGAGAATCTTCCCTTAGATATTGGAGAATTATCAGACAAACGTCGCTCGCAATCACTCAGTGCTTTGTCCAAAGAAGAAATGAAAAGTCCGAAAAAGGTATTCACTTCTTAAATAACCTTTCTGGTTTTATTTAATAATGGGAATTTAGAAAATATTTAATTAATCATTTTTTAACTCTCTAATACAGAAAACACATTCTTGTAAGACGGAAATTTTTTTTTTTTTTGCTGTTTTATTATCAAATGTTACTTAAATAACAGCCATGAAAATAAGGGTTGAATTTTTGATGTCAGGACATCTGCTTTTTGACATGACATGTCAAAAACCTGTCAAACTATCAAAATCCTTCAAAAACCTGGGGCACCTTTTTAATATTACAGACATTTTATTAAATACTAAATCATGCACAATACTTGCATTACATATTTCTATAATTATGATTTATATTATCTATCACATATAAAAAATGTCTCCAAAATTATAGAAACCATTTATTTTTCTAATGGTACTTTAAGACCTATGTTATAACTACTCAGTTTATATTATAGGTAATAACTATGAGTTATTAATCATTATCAATCTAAATATTGATTTTAATTCTTTTATGTTACAATTTTATCGGATTTTTTAGATTAATTAAAATTATAAGGTTCTCCAATAATTGTCAGTTCTCAACATATAATTTTTTTTATTCATTTTCAATATTTGTTGTAATTAATTATATTAAAAAAAGAGCAGAAAATGTCTGACCGCGCCGACAAGGATTTGGAGGAAATTCAGCCCTCAATGGAAAAATTTTTCGTCTAAAATAATTCTGCAAAATTTTTTGTTACAAAAATGTTGCTTGCAAAACTTTTTCTTGTTAAAAAAAACCTATGTCAATTTGTGTATTTATTAGTTTGAATTCCTTAAGTTAATAAGTGGGACCTTAAATTTAATCTGATAAATTATCACTAGTTCATTATATTTTAATTTCTATTACTTTATAACGCATATGCTCGTTTATTCAGGAATTGTGTAAAATCAAATGGAATTTTTTTTACATAAACTTTATTTTTCAAAAAATTTTTTAAACATTTATTGTACTGAAAAAAAAAATCGAAAATTTTTAGGGAATAAGATAAGAAACTTAGTTCATAGGGAATATTAGGCTCTGAGAATTTTCTTCACTCTTGCTTATATGCCAAAAACAGGTCCATCCAGAATTTGATCTAATGATCAGGACTCATTCTTTGATCTTGCTTATTTGTACAGGACTCAATAATCTAGGACTCCTTCTTACTGGTTTCAGAGGGTAACCTGAAATATGTTAAAAAATAAGTGCAGACTATATGTTAAGCTACAAAATTGGACAGAAAAACGTACTTTCTCTGAATAAATATACCTCTTTTTTTCGGTCAATAGTTCCTGAGAAATCGTATTTTAAATATCTTACTTTTTTGAAATTCAATTTCTCAGAAACTGTTTGACCTATTTTTCACAAATTTTGTATTTTGCTACTTAAAATTACATTATTTAAAATTATTCAAAAAATTGTCGACCTAACAAATCAAAATTTTTTAGAGTATTCTTAAATAAAATAATAAATATTCACATAAAAGTTTTTTTTTGCATGGAATTATCTTTGGATAAATGAATTTTATAATTGTGTGTAAAAAAATTTCAATTCACTTTATGAGTTCTGGAGATATGGCATAATATGCAAAAAGTGAAATTTAAATTAAAGGGTTCAAACTTTGGAGTGCTCTCTTGACCAAACTAATGGCACCATGTTTCCTAAATTGCTGCTACCGCCTATAATATGGAGTCAAAAATTCGAATCCGTCAAAAAAAGGTATGTTTATTCAGAGAAAATACGTTTTTGAGTCTGACTTCGTTACTTAAAATTAGCATATTTTTGGTCACCCCCTCAAGCCATTAAGACAGCTTCCTAAGACGTCAAAATTTGATCATTAGATCAAAAGTAAAGTTATTCAGGGTGGTCTTTTTTTTTGCACTGTACATGAATATTTCCAGTATTAGTAAACTAATGTTAATTATATTTTAATGTATAAGTATAGTTCACTGATTAATCAACGAATTATAATTTATAAAACTATAAATGTTTGTTTAAATGAGTTAATAATTTTTTCAATTAATCAATTATTTATTTAAATTGCTATCATATTTAGTGCGGTCATTAGAATAAATTTTCTAGTTACATATTATTTTATTATGTTAAATAGCTTTAGTTTGTTTACTTTCGATACTATGCAGCTCAGCATCAATCAAAAGAATAGTTTTGAATTTTGGTCTTATTTATAAAAACTGAAAAAGGAACAGTTTATTTTTTCCAATTTTTTTTTTTCTTTCAAAAACTGCCTTCAAAACTTTTTTTTGTTGTAATTGCATGCTTTAGGGAAAGGAGCAGTTAAAATGGGAGTAAATAAAAATTGATTTTATATATAATGAATAGGATGATTGTTAAGTGTTTTCTTTTTAAGCTCATTGTTTTTGTATTTTTATTTTCAATTTTTTAAGAAATTAACAGAGAAGATAAATGTCGATTTAACACCTTTTTTATTTATAATTATGTAATATTTTCTTCATCAAAATTTGGATTTTTGACTGTAATTGTCAAAACAAAAAGGGAGTTTAATATCAAAATAATTCAAGAATATAATTAATCGATCACTTGTAGTTTTATATGTATGTTTATTTATAAATACATCTTATTTATAATAGTTAATAATTATCCTTACACTAAAATTTTGGGTTTTACACTTGTCAAAACTGTTTTTTTGACATGACAGATAAATATGGTCAGAGCCGAATAAAACCGTCAATTGTCAAAAACTTGCCAACCCTGATTAAAATTTGATGCTGGAAATGGAAACTATAGTCTTTATATAGTTCTTTTTTTCATTATTATTTCTATTCAGAAGTCTCTCATTTATGTGAAACTACGTTTAACTTGTCTCCTTACTCTTTTATTACTGTATCCTCCTGTATATTACCATATTCCTCACTTATACTACCATACCTCATGATTATTACTTTATTTTGGCAATGATTAAGTTGTCAAATAACTTAAATAGTTTTATGTAAAATTATCATGAATTTCTATTGCTTGAAATGGAAACCTTCATCCTCAGTGTAGATATTTTTTATTTAGAAATCTCTTGTTTATGGGACCACCATATTTAAGTTTAGCTTCAGCTAATGAGGGCATACTTATCATTTTTGTCCTTTATTTATGTTAAAAACAATTTTTAATTTGTGGTATTCCATGTTATAATATGAATAAATGTTTTGCCTTTATCTATTTCCTTGGTCATTGCAGCTGCAAAGTGTTTTTGTCCAGTTTTTCCTTAAGAATTTTTTTTCTAAAAAAAACATACCTAAATTATCTAGTTTCATAAAAAAAAATAATTATGCTTTTTCTAAGCAAATGATTCTTCTACTCAATTAAAATTGCTCAATGGGATATCAATTGTAAATATTAATTATCGCAAGCATTTTAACTAATTTATAAACAATATTTGAAGACCATACTGGTAAATGCGTTCATTGACAATTTGAAAACTCAGAATTATTTTTAAAGTTTAAACTGCTGTATATGTGCAATATTATGTTCTGCCAATGAGTAATTATTTGAACTAAATGTTTTATAAACAGTTGTCTAGTGTTTGTGTGGTTTCTTAAGATAGTATTTTCCCCATGATTTATTAAAACTTTTAACTCATTCTTCCGCTAAACTCTTTTACTAATTTAATTTTATTTAATTAAATTAATAAATTTTATTAATTTTAATTTTATTAATTTTAATTTAATTAAATTAATAAATTTTATTAATTTAAATAAATTTTATTAATTATAATTAAAATTATTGCAAAGTTCTTAGCTGTAATAATGCTAGAATATAAGACTGAAGTTGCTCAAATTTTATTTGTTTTTTTCTTGAAATACACGAAGATGATTGTGCTCCGGAAATATCCAGATTTGCAAATTTTTTGCTAACCATGTTCTGGAAATCCAAGGTCCAGAAGTTTCACGAAGTCATCACTTACATTTATGTCTAAAAATTCTTATATATTTAATTTAGAAATGTAAGAACTAGAATTTATGCTTGGCATCTTTTTCATTTGTAAATATTTTTTCTGGTAGAATAAGTGTGATTAGAGATAAAAGTAAACTTACACATAATTATTCATTTAAATTATGCTGCTTGTAGTTTATTTAGAATTTCATGTTTTGAAAGTATCAATGATTTACATTTATGAAGACATTAATTTTTTTGAAATATGTTATTAATGATTTGACTCAAAAAATTTTCAGGATTTTTGAGTTTTGCTCACAATTACCCCTGAATATGAATCAAACTAAAATTGCTTCTTTTAGTTATTATCTATTTTAAACTATATTTATTAGCCAGAGATTTTCACAGATTTTGTAATTTTTTTGAAATTTTTACTAAATTAAAAAGTTATTGATTTGTGTTCTGCGTGTTTCACTAGTATTGTTGTGAAAAAAACTCACTAATATTATCATTTATTTCCAGCCTCTTAGTCGAGAGAAAGATCACATTAGAAGACCCATGAATGCTTTTATGATATTCAGCAAACGCCATCGAGCTCTTGTTCACCAACGTCATCCAAATCAAGATAATCGAACAGTGAGCAAAATCTTAGGGGAATGGTGGTACGCATTAGAGCCGGAACGAAAGCAGAAATATCATGATCTGGCATATGAGGTTATTTGTTTAATTGTTTTTTTACTCTTTTTAGTTTATAAAATTTCCCCATAAATTTTTTTTCTTAGGGAGGTAAAAAGCCGTGAGTCCTAAAACGTGAAAATGCGATCATTAGATCAAAAGTAAAGTTATTCAGGGTAGTCTTTTTTTTTGTGCAATGTAAAATATATTTTCAAGGTATCTGTGCACCTGGAAAGTCCAGGGCTGATTGTGCTCCGGAAAAAATCCGGATTTCCGGATTTTTCGCTAACAGTGATCCGGAAGTTTCCGGAGATCGAAGGTCCAAACGTTTCAAAAAATCATTGATCACAAAAGTTTCCGGAAATCAAATTTTCAAAGGTGGAACTTAAAAACACAGTTTCTTTTATTTGTAAGGGAGTGCCAGATACTTTATAAGCTTATATTCAAGATTAATATTCATTTTCTATCACTAAATAGTTATTATGATCATAAAATCAAGAAAGAAAAACATATTTGTAAATTTCAATTACTTCTCCTGGTCGACATAGGTACTTGCAAATGGTATAGGTATGTGTAAAATTTTAAATACATTTTAAATGAATTAAGAAATATTGAGAGAAAGGAAGAAAAAAAACCTTGTTTAAATTTTTTTCTAATTTTTCAATTTAAACTCTTTTTTTTAAATTTTTTTTATTGAACTCGAGAAATTTTCCGGAATTTTGACTTGGGCTCACAATCAACCCTGAAAGTCATTGATTTGGGTATTGAACAAAATTTGTCATGAAATGTCATAATTTTAGCTATTTTAAAAAAAAAAAAAAATCATGGAAAGTCATGGGTTTAGGTCGCCGAAAAATCTAATTTTTAAAATGGAATTTACCTTTCCTCCCAATCTCAGTGTTCTGATGTTCCAAACATCTAAATTTGTATCAAAATCCCCCACTCATTGTCATTCTATTAAAGTATAAAATGTCTTTATCCTGTACTTTAAGAATTATGGTGTTCTTTCAAAAAATAAAAGGAGTATCATTTCTAGAGCAAAATATTTTTTAAACTTCTGTGATTTCAGAATTTATTTATTAGCAACTTATTATTTTATTTTATCAATTTAAAATTCTAGTTTAGGCTTTTTATATTACTTACTTTAAAGAAGAAATAAAACAGCTTTAAATAACTGTGTATATCTGATAGTATTTAGTCATTTGCTTTTGTCCTTTTTTTCAGTTATTTTATTGCTTCAACTTTTTCTTTACTCTATTTATTTAAGTTTAAAATGAATAAATATGAAGATGTAGAGTATAACAGTCAGTCAATTAATGTTATTATAATGCTTTTTTAAATTTATTGTTGTGTTTACGGGATAAAATAATAACTTTCGTAAGTCATGAAAAATTCTTGGAATTATTCATATAAAGTCATGGATTTGAAAATCTAAAATGTAGCAGATACCCTGTATAATATATTTTGTAATTTTATACATAAAATATTTCCAGTATTAGTAAACTAATGTTAACTATATTTTAATGTATAGTTAGTTCACTTATTTATCAACTAATTATAATTTATAAAAAATCTAACTGTTTAAAGGAGTTAATAATTTTTTAATCAATCAATTCAAGTATTTAATTAAATTGCTAATAATTTTTAGTATGGTCATTTGAATAAATTCCCTAGTTTATTTTAGTATGTTAAATAGCTTTAATATGTTTACTTTCTATACTATGCAGCTCAGCATGAATTGAAAGAATAGTTTTGAATTTTGGTCTTATATGTAGAAAATTAAAAAATGAAGTGTTTTTTTTCCTCACAAACTGCCTTCAAAACTTTTTTGTTGTTGTTATAATTGCATGCTTTAGGGAAAGGAACAGTCAAAATAGAGGTTAATAAAAATTTATTTTATATATAAAGAACAAGATGATTGTTGAGTGTATGTTGAATGGTGGTTTTGTAATATTTTCAGCATGCTTAATCTACAGAGTGACAATCATTGAGTTAGAAATACATAACTTGAACCTCGAAAAATTATTGGCAAGATTATTTTTTAAAATATTATGTAACTTAGCAGCTATTATCCCCTTGTAATTTGTTTTATTGGAACTTATTTGCGTTAAAGTTATCATCTGCAGTATAATAATTTAAAAAAATAATGTTTAAGTTTTTTTTTAAATGTATTAAAATAAAAGTATATTTGATGTGCATTTCTAATATAAACTCATTAATGTTCCTGATTCTAGATTGCATTATGAAAAATTAAAATAAATTCAAGTAATTAATAGAATAAGGGATCTAAAGTAATTTCATTATTTTTAATTACATTTTGTCCCTGTAAAAATTTTTTATTTTACTTTTTATTATGCTCTTTTTTCTTTCCTTTTCATGATGGTTATAAAAGTAATAATGCATATTTAAAACTTCGAAATGTCATTAATGTATATAATGTTTTAATTTCATCGTTAAGGATTATAATGGGGTTTTTAAAACTCGAGTGCCATGACCGAGAACAGAAGAATTCAACAATTAAAATTTTATTGAAAATTTCAAGGGGTTTAATTTTATCGAAAATTTAAAGGGGTTTTATTTTGTTGAAAATTTCTTGTTTAATCCTAATTATTCCTGTAAAAAAATAGTTTTATTTAGTTCCTTTATACATTGAGCAAACCTTTTAAAAGAATTCATTGTTACTCCTAAAATTTCATTAAATAAGAATTTAGAGCATGCTAGTTTCTTAATTCTAGGAGAAAGAGGGTACGTAGGTTTAGCCAGGGTACGTACAGACTCCTTATACTCCTTAGAAACTCCTTGGAAATGAAAGTCTCCAAGGAGTACTTGGAACTACTTAGATTTCTAAATTAGTCCTTAGAAACTGCTTAGATTATTGCTTTGCATAGATGAACTTACTAAGTACGCTGATGAATTTGCTGTCCCAGCGGAGAAATTAAATGATATGACTTAGATGTCAAAATCTAATAGTTTAAGAAAACTTTTAGGAAAAAAAAATTTAATTGCAAGAGTTAGAAGAAAAAAATAACAGCAGATAATTTTAATTTTACATGTTACAAGCAAACTTAATTAATAATTTATTGTGATTTTTTTTTATATGAAATGCCTTAGATTTTCTTATGTATTCAAATTTAAAAAAATAAGATTGGTAGGTTTTTATGTCAATCCTTAACATCTGTACTTTAACAAGATTTATTAAAATATTTGAAACTGAAAAATGTATTTATGTGTCAAAGTGATAACTTTATCTATTTTTCTTGGTGAAGTTTGACAAAGTCAAAATTTATTTCAAAAGGGCTAGAAAAAAATATGCAAATTATAAATTTTTTCGAGTTTTTTATAATAACAGCTTTTTAATAAATAAGAAAAAAAACTTTCTAGTTATCTTTTGCACAAAGTTTTTTAATTTTTGATAAGTCCTTAAAATTTTGGACTCCTTGGATTTTTTCTTCTGATCTCTGTATAAACCCTGGTTTAGCATGTACATGGGGATAATATGGCAGCTGAAATATTTCTGTTTTTCTCTGCCAAAATTTATCCGTAAATTTTGGCAGTTTAGCAAAACTGATAAACTTTCATCTATAGTTACTACTTGATGATGGACATATAAATGCAGTGTATCGACATAGTATCATTAAGTTTTCTGTGATAATAAGGTTGTTTAATTCCATACTACTTATTTCAGTTGGGCATTTATTTTATTTTGTTATATTTATTTTGCAAAGTATTCAGTTAATTTACAATTTATTTAATTGATGCTTTAGTTAATATATTTTTATTATATCTAGACTTTTAAGGAAACATTAAGAATTTTGACTTTTTTATGGCAAAAACATTTTTCTATCTTTTATATATTTCTATTACCTTTAGTTTTGTAAGCAAATTCATAATAAACTCAAGTTAATAAATGGAATAAAAAGTTTAGTGTAAAAAATTAAGAAGATAGTTCTAATGAGAAATATATGATTTATTTCAGGTTAAGGAGGCTCATTTCAAGGCATATCCTAATTGGAAATGGTGTAGTCGTGACCGTAAAAAGTCTAGCACCAGCTCCACCCCCAAAGATAGCCAAAAACCTCTTGGCAATGATGAACCTCTTACACCATCGTTAACTTCAAGTATTCTTTCTGGTTTGAGCATATTTTTCATTTTCAAATCTGCCCAATTATTTCTAATGAAATATGCAAAGTATCCATACTACTGAAATAATTTTTTATAAAATAAGGTTTCTACTTTTAAAATAATTTAGGATCAAAAGTTTGTTATTTTTTCTTTAGGAATATAATTATGTATATTTATGACAGTACAATATTCCATATATTTTAAAAAGGTGAGAATTAAGAAAAATAATTAAAAAACGTGTTTCGAAATTAAATAAAAAGTTTAACTATTTTATTTTTGTTTCTCTAGAAACGTCATTATTTCCATTGCTAGGTGCTTAATTTTTATTAAAGAAGGTTTAAAGTTGCTATTCAAAAAAGTAATTCGCTTAATATTTTAAAAATTAATTTTTTTGTATGTTAATAAAAATTTCTTTGCTTATTTTTTTTATAAAATGATCGATTGGTGCATTTGAAAATCTATTGTAAAATGCTGACCAATCGCTGATATATGTTCTCCCCTTTTCACTATAATATAAAAATTCTAATATAGCACTTAATATTTCACTCTAATATAATGCTAACAAATCACCCCAACCCTTATTGCCTACACATGGCTGTGTCAAGCCAGGGCTGCCATTGGAGACTAAAAAGGCGACTAAAACGACTTTTTCAAAACAATAGCAACTATGGCGACTATTTTAGTAGAATTATGAGTAAAAACAACTAATTTGCGTAAAATCGACAACTTTTTTAAGCCAAAGCGACTAAAATGAAGAATAGCTTCATGAGTTTCCCCTTTCCCCCACTTTTTTTTGCCGTGCTTTCGTTTTATCCTAACTTTATTATTTCTCACTGTCTGATGTCAAAAGCATGACAGACATATTTAACCAATCAGACTGATGGAATTGGAATTCACACAACGTGAATGCTCCTCCTGCTTTAGAAAGCTAATGTAATATCTCTGAGGATTAAGTTTTTCTCCCTCTTTTAATTTGAACGAAGTAGCAAAATTAGAAAAATTGTCTTTAATTACACAAAATGTGTTGTTAATTTTTTAGAGCTATTTAGAATAGAAAAAAAGGTACATGGTGATATTCGTTTTGTCGAGTTGTGATAATAATTTTTTTTGATAAGCATTAAAATTTGGAAATGTGTCAGTTATGAAAAAAAATTAAAAAAATAAAACTGAATTAAATTGCAATATTTTTTTTTTTTTAATGTCTAAACTAAGCAACTGCAAATTAGAACCGAGAAAGGAAATTCCAAGTTCAACTGTTCTGTAACAGATAAAACTCCCTGTTTTTATGCGTAGCGTGAAAGAATATATATTGTTGGCAAATCAACAAATAAATGAACATTTTTTATAAAATATGAGTATCTAAATGCATGTTATTTGAATTTTATGCTATTACAGCACAAATAATTAAAATTATATTAGAGGAGGATATGATGTTATTTTATATATCTTTGAGACTATTTCGGAGACTTTTTTTCATATATGTTGCAACTAAAGCAACTATTTTTCTTGTTTTCATTCAGTGGCAGCCAAGCTTATGTTTCACAAGAACATAAAATTCTGTATCTTTATTTGTTAAATAATTATGTTCAAATTTCAGGAATTTTTTTCAACTATTTAAAAAGATTTTTTTCCCCAAAAAGTTTTTTCAATTTTTTACAAAACTCATCCTGTGGTATGAATCAATATATAGCTTTATAGAAATTAATCTCGTTTTGCTCAAAATTAAAGCATTAAATAGCCATTAACGCACTATTTCTTTTATAATTTATTATATCAGTCGTAAATAAATCAAATGATTATATAGCTAAAAAATTCTTAAATTTCACATATGGAATAAATAAAACATTTCACACATTCCTCTTTTATCCTTACTCCTCATCAAGTTGCATAATTTTCCGCGAACATCTCTAAATTTCGGAATACTTTATTTCAGAGTGTTGGAAATGTATGATAAAAATACAAGTAAAAATAATGAAGTTGACCTTAAATAGAATATTGAGAATAAATTAAATAGTGATAATAAATTTTGCCTTCAAAATCAATCATTTAAGCATATCACCCTGCTCATTCGTTTTAGAGAATGTTTATTCGTTTAGAGAATTATTTTTCTCTCGTACCTTCTTAGCAGAAGAAAGGGGGAAAAGAAATTATAATTCTGTCGATCCTTGACTATTTGCGTGGTGATTTCGTGAGGGAAATCCGTCAACTACTTTTTTGGCCAAAAGGGCTTTTGTGCTATTGTTGCATTCTTGCAAACTGTTTTTCACCTGCATTGTTAGTTCTTTAAGTTATTATTGATGGTAAATTTTAAAAATAGATCTCTGAAAAAGATAAGAAGATGAAGGGTAGTAATTAAATTTTAGATAATTAACTCAGCAAAATAAAGTCAGGGTATCCATGCACCTGGAAAGTCATGAATTTCGGTATTGAAAAAAAATTGTCATGAAATGTCATGATTGTAACTATTTTTTTTTTTTAAATCATGGAAAGTAATGAATTTAAGCAGCCGAAAAGTCTAATTTTTGAAATGGATTTTACTCCCTCCCCTCTAATTTCATGGTGTTTTGAATATCTGAATTTCTAATAAATTCCCCACTCACAGTCATATTTGATTAAAATATAAAATATTTTTATCATGTTTAAAAATTACGGTGTTCTTTCAAACAATGAAAGAAAAAGCATAATTTCTAAAGTGAGTTATCTTTTAAACTTCTGTGATCTCAGAATTTTTTTTATTTTTTTTTATTTTATCAATTTAAAATTCTCGCTGAAGCAAGTCAGTAATTGGCGAATTTTTTTTTAATTCCGAAATGAGAACAGAAAAATCAGGAGTATTTCTTTCCTTTCCGATAAACAAGAAAAGTATCTGTAGAATATAATTCTGCAGATAAAAAGAAAAAATTATTTGCTTTTGTATTTTTTTCGGCTAGTTTATTGCTTCACATACCTACATTATACTCTGTTTTCTTAAATTTAAACATTATACTCTGTTAAACTTAAATTTAAACATTATACTCATATCTACATTATACTCTGTTTTCTTAAATTTAAAATCTATAAATATGAAGAGGCAGAGTAAAACAGTTTTGGTTATACCTATCATTTCAATCAATGCTATTATAATGCTTTTTTAAATTTATTGCTGTGTTTTTGTCGGAGAAAATAGTAACTTCGTTAAAAAATGAAAAATTCTTGGAATTAGTCATGAATTTGAAATTCTAAAATGTAGCAGGTACCCTGTAAAGTTTTCATGTTCAAGTAGTAGCCAAAAAAGTAGTAACCACATATATCAAAATGTAATGTTTTAAAACATAAACGCTGCGACGTATCTCCCCAAAATTACGGTAATGGGGAAAAGTGCATTTGATTTATTGGTGTTTCAATTATAGAAAATAAAACCTGTTAATTTCAGTAATTCATTGNTTTAATTTTGAGGTACTGGCAGTTCACTTATGTTCCGTTTGATTTCCACTCAATAAAAGAGAGTGCACATTTAAGTATTTTTGATAAAAACATACTTTAGCTCTTTTTAATTGGAGGATGCAGTGAAAAAAATTGTATAGACAACTTAATATTTTTCTTTCGTGTTTCTAATGGGCTCCATTGACTTGTACAAAGTTACATGGCAGAAGCAGAAACTTAAAATTTTTTTTAATCTGCATATCTTATGCAGAAATTAAAAAAGCAGCCTGATATGATGATTTAAAAATTTAACTTAAAATGCTGTGTAAAATAAAACCAACTGACTTACACGTAAATAAAAATTTTGTTGCAATTTTTCATCTGTTGTTGAACACAATTGTTGAATTACAATTTACATCAGAATAGCTTGTTGTGATTTAAAACCGCAACAAGTTTAAACTGAAAGTTTTCTGTATTTTTTGCTAGCCGTGATCTGGAAATCCAACGTCCGGAAATTTCAAGAAATCATCGATCACATTTATGTATAAAAATTCTTGTTTATTTTATTTAAAAATATTCGAACTATAATTTATACTTAGCATCTCTTTCATTTGTAAATATTTTTTCTGATAGAATAATAAATGTGGTTAGAGATTAAAGTAAACTTAAGTATAATTATTCATTTAAATTATGCTGCATATAATTTATTTAGAATTTCCTGTTTTGAAAATATCAATGATTTAAATTTATTAAGACATTAATATTTTAAAATGCGTCATTAATGATTTTCTCACGAAATTTTCAGGATTTTTGAGTTGAGCTCACAATCTCCCCTGCATAAAGAAAGCACTATGTTTCATCTGTTACATTTTTTTTTTATCTTGAGGGTCTTTGAAGATTACTCAGGTAAAATGCAGAATTTCATGTTTGCACGACAGTCTAAAGACTACATTTCAAAGTCCGACAAATGAAAAATTGCCTTTGTTAAAAATGATATGCACTTCACACCGACAGTACCAAAAATGAATTCGAGATTGCTGTGTGTTTTCGTTATTAGTGCTGTTAACCTCTAAAAAAATAATATTTTTCTTCCAACAAACACCTGCGTGATAGTCATGCTGCGTCACATTTTTTAAAAATTGTTTAAAGGTGTTTATTTTCGTATTTTAAAAGCCCTTAAAGGTGCTTTTTTCCATTGAGATTTTTTAAAAAATGGTTAATTTTCCCTTTTCGAGAATGATATATTTTTCTTTACGATGTCGTTTTTGCCACATATTGTGCAGAAACGTCCTTTTCACATTGTTCTATTCAAAGTTTTCACAATTCATTCAACCGCAATCTATTTTGGAGAACCACTGGTTCATAATGTATATAAGTGCCAATCATTTTACATGTTTGATGAAATACTTGAGAGTTCGCACGTGCATCTACATGAGCTGGGTTCGGTGAGATTATTGTCAGTCTTCATTTTCCACCCTCTGATATCGAACCGAAAAATCTCTTAATCTTTCTATGATGGCTAATATAACCAAGAAAAGAATTCTTTCTCAGAATCTAAATTTTTTCTCATGATCATGTAAAGACTTTGAAAATTATTTTACATTTTTTACTGTATATAGTGCTTACAAATATTTTTTGAGTGCTTGAAAAATACTGAAAAGGTGCTTATTTTTTGTGGAAAGATTTGGCTATGTGCCCTGTAAGTGACCATTCTAGAAATTTATTGACTCTGTCTCGTAAACAGTGTCAAATGACCTATTTGTTTTCTAGTTGCAATTTTATTAAATAATTTTTGTTTAACAGGGTGTATAGCGTTTGTAGAAAGTACTTAAAGGTGCTTTTTTGGGGATTTTGTTTTTAAAAGCTTTTAAAGGTGTTTTTTTCAGCTGGCGTTTTTGAAAAGTGCTTTTTTTTCCGAATAATTTTTTTCTCTCCCTTCAGTGATATCTGGTGGCATTTCACGAAAAATGGGGAGTTTGCTGCGTAATCATTCTCGCGAACTTCATGTCGTACCCACGTTATGACTTGCGCATGCGCGCACACTTGAAACCGAAACCCGAGTGCTCCAATTCGGATAGAGAATATCAGATCCTTATGAAATGTTTTTCTTTTTAATTTATTTTAATTTTGTTCTTGTTTATTTTATTTTACTTCTAAGACTTTTTTTGACATAGGGGGTAAGGGTACTTTTGTTCTGAGTTCAGGGTCAAGTTGAATTCACTCGGTGATGTGGGAAAGTACTGATTGTTTTGATTTACGCCCATTTCTTTTTGTTATTTTTTTAACGCTAAAACTATTTATAAGAAGTTTTCGTTTTTCAATAATATCATTGATTGAATATGAATTTTTTGAGTGCTTGAAAATTTTTGTAAAGTGCTTGAAAAGTTTTTAAAAAGTGCTTATTTTTGATTCAAAGATTTGGCTACGCACCCTGTTTAAGCAATATCAAGTTTCCCATTTCTTTTAGAAGCGGCCCAGATCTCGGTCTCTATCACAGCTGCCTGATCCCTGGCATGCCAGTCTGTTGACGAATTCTTTTGATGGAAGCAGCTCTGAAAAAAAGGTTTCAGATGATTTAAGGCAGGACAGTGATATTTCTGGTTTTGCTGAGAAGTCTAAAAAAAGAAGAGAGATGGATAATTTGCGCGGGGATTCTGATACCACCAGTGATGATGAAAGAATGGTGATATGTGAGGAAGAGGTAGATAATGGTATGTGTGCACCAAATGTCTATCTTAATACATTTCAAAAATATATTTTATTTTTTAATATTCATTATTTTTCGTTACATACATTTTTACTGTATCTAAATTTCATGCACTGTTAACTCTTTTTTCTCTTCCATATGTTGTACATAAACCAGAGTTGGCAAGTTTTTGTCAATTGACGGTTTTATCGAATATTCAGCATGTTTTAACTGTCATGTCAAAAACCTCTTTTTGACGTTGTTGTTGGCAGTTGGCAATTTTGGTCTATGGATAATTATTAGCTATTATAAATATAAAGTATTTATAAATAAACATGCATATAAAATTGCAAGTGATTACTCAATTATGTTCTTGAATTATTTTGACATTAAACTCTTTTCATTATGACAATCACTGTCAAAATCTCAAATTTTGGTATAGAAAATATTAAATAATTATGACTAAAAATGTGTAAAATTGCAATTTATCCAATCCATTAATTTTGTTATTGAAAATAAAAATTCAAAATCTTGGAAGAAAAAAAAAACATTTAGCAATTATCGTATTCATTTCATGTTAAATTAATTTTCATTAATTTTCATCTTAACTCCTCCTTTCCCCAAAGCACGTGATTACAAAAAGAAGTTTTGAAGCCCTCTGTACTCAGAATTCATTTTTCAGCTTTGCATGAATGATATCAAATTAAAAATTGTTCTGCATAGACTAGAATGTAGACACACTACAACAATTACAACATACTAATGTAACACATAAAGTTTTTTTTTTATAATTAAACTAAATATTGATAGAAACTTAATTAAACCCTTGAATTGATTGACTGAAAAAAATTACAAACATTAAACAAACATTTGTGTTTTACGTCAGTTATAATTAGTTTACTTATTGGGGAATATATTATAGCTATGATTTATTGGATACATTCACGTACATTTATTGGATACATGTAAGGAGTGCATAAAATTCTCAGTGCCTAATATTTTCTCAGAATATAGTTATTTTAGATCTAAATTTCCCCCAAAAGTTTAGTTATTTATTCTATTTTATTTATTTAAATACGTTTTTAGTACAATAATTTTTTCAAAATATTTTTGAAAAGTATAGTTTATACATTGTTAAACATTTTTGATAATAAGAACAAAGAAAAAAAATCATTTAATTTTACAAAATTCTTTTAATATCTGTTAAAAATTAGAGAAATAAAAATATATCGAAATACAATGTTCCCTCGCCACTTCGCGCTTCATGTTTTGCGGCTTCAGTACTTCCCGGGTTTTTCCAAAATATCAATCGAAAAATAAAAAGTGTGACCATGTCGGCAGCCACAATGCGGAAAGGAGCGTTGTTTCATGTTGAGGCACAAGAGAGAAGGATCCCTGCATATCAAACAAAGAGATGAGTTGATTCAGAGTACATATACTGCGGGCTCTCATAAAGGCCAGGCTTCAAGGCTGAAAAAGACCGTGTGACTGTCATCACAGCTGGCAATGCTGCAGGTTTTATGATTGAGTCGGGCCTTATTTATAAAGCCAAAAAATCCACGGGCATTAAAAAACAAAAATATGGCTCTGTTGCTCGTGTTCTAGACGCATAACTCCAAGGCCTGGATTACGAAAGCTCTCACCCTTGAATGGTTCCTCCATTGCTTCATTCCCCAGGTGACGCTGTATCTGGCTGAAAAGGACCTCCCCTTTAAAGTCCTTCTCCTGATGGACTCGAGGCCATGCAACGGACCTGCAATATGACGGTGTGCCCCGAACACTACACCTTTAATTCAGCCGATGGATTAAGGTGTCATTCGTGCCTTTAAAGCACTCTACCCTCGGTTTTGTAATTAACTTTTATAATTAGCATTTACACGTTTAAGTAAATACGTGTACTGTTGTAATTTTTGTCTTAAATGTGTGAAGTATAAATACTGTTTACATATTTCAAACGTTTGTGTACCCGCATACACGAAAATTCCTATTGGCGAATCCTACTTTGCTGTTTTTCAGCTTTCGCGGAAGGTTCTGGCCCCCGTTAACCGTTAAAAACGAGGATTCACTGTAGTAATAATTAATATTAAATTAAATTTAAGGTCATAAGCTTAAGAAATTCAAACTAATAAATTCACAAATTGATATATAATATTTTTTAATTAGGAAAATTTTTTATTCAGTGACACATTTGTTAACAAATTATTGTAAAAATTTTTTTTAGACTAAAATTGTTCCCAGGGCCGCCCGAATTTCTTTGTTTTATTCCGAATTTCTTTTTTTATTTTATTTATGTACATTTTTAGTACAATAATTTTTTCGAAATTTTTTTGGAAAGTGAAGTTTATGCACTGTTAAATATTATTGATAATAAAGACAAAGAAAAAAATTAATTTAAATTTGCAAAATTCTTAAATAAATGAATATATGTGTTAATAATATGAATCAAAATATATCGAAAAAGTAATAATTTATAAAATTAAATTTAAGGTCATAAGCTTGAGGAATTCAAACTAATAAATTCACAAATTGATATATAATATTTTTTAACTAGGAAAAATTTTGTTAATTGACACATTTGTTAACAAATTATTGTAGGTTAATGTTTCATATGAATGTTTTTTTCTAGACCTAAAATTATCCCTCAAAATCTCTTTTGTACGATTGAACATACTCTGCTTCCCTGTGATCATAAGTAATAACAACAAATATTGAGAGTTTAAAAAAAATTATTAGAAGTTGAGATCACACTATTGACAACCACTTTAGTTTTATTTAATCTAAAATATCTGCTTAAATTGTGGCATAAAAGAATTAAAATAAATATTTAGATTGTTAATAATTAGCCTACTCATGGTTATTAACTGTAATATAAACTGAATGGCAAATAATATTGCAAATAGTGTTAATATAAATTATATATTAATAGTATAAATTATGTAGAAAAATTTATTAAAATAATGTAGAGTTCTAAATATATCCAGCTAACACAAGCATTAATAGAAAAACAATACAACTTGTTTAAGAAAAAAATTAATAGGAGACTATTTTCGAAACATAGGAGAGTCAGTTTGTTTTTGTTGAGAATAGTTTTTTTTCCTTGTATTTTAAGTGTATACTAACCTGTTAAGGGTATGGCCATTTCTTTCTGCTTGGTTGCTGTGTGGTTAATGTTTCAGATGAATGTTTTCTTTTTTTTTTTTTTGTTTAATAAAAACTTTCTCTTAAGTACAGCTTATTTTAATTGGGGACCCTTAAACTTTAAAAAACTTACCATTTACTTTAAAGGAATTCAGATCCTAAGTTTTTAAATCTTATTACTTTTAAAATCTCGAGATTATTTTGATAATCCAATCACACCAAAATTCACTATACACCAGGTTTATTTTTTAACTTCTTTATCTGCTCTTGTTTTGTATAACTTTAAAAAAACTTAAATATTGAAATTTTTTCATAATTTTATTCTAATAAGTTTTAACTAAACTGTAAAACTACCTAATTGGTTTAAAAATCCTGTTTTAAATTGTGAAATGTGGCTTTTATGATATTCCTTTTAAATATTCCTGACATGTATATTTACTAGTTTCAGATAAATCACTTTTATGCACTGAGGAACCACCCATCGACTTAAAGTGCAAAGAGAAGGTCACAGAAAGCGATACGGAAAGCCAGTCTGATGAAGAATCCTTGTTAGAAAACAAGGCATTCCCTCAACAGAGATTCTCACCGGTCATGAAGCATCATCCGTCTGTAGAAGTCACCCACCGCCCGAAGCCTATAAAAGCACACCCTTGTTCCAACTCCCAAACTTCATTTTCCACCAGCAATGAAAACAGTAGTTCTCCTAGTAGTGCTGTCGGCGGAACTTTCCTCAGGCCTTTGCCAACCGTATCCTGCTTTCAGCCTACGGGTGCAGTCTTCAAAGATGTTCACTCTCCTAAAGTGAATGCAAGCGACGCCTTCACTTCGTTCCCTGTCGAAATCTCCAAACCCTCCATAATTGTCACTTCCGAAAAAGGCTTGTTCGATAGAGTATCAGACTCTCCGGACATGCCCGTTCTCGTCTCGAAGATACCGCCTATGCTTGAAGCTGTAAACAGTGAGCAGTGCTCCCTGTCTAATCAAAAACTAGTTACTTTTGAAGAATCTCATAATAATGGTGGGGATGGCGCTAAAAGTAAGACACAAAAAACTGTTCAGAAGCTCTGTCGTGGCAGTAATTTGCCTCCGCCTCTTTCAATCCCCTCCATCAATCTCACTCAAACGCATGCCAAAAATATTTCTCCTCAAGTACCGGCAGCCTTGACCAGGCAGCATTTGCAGGCTCTTCAAGTCCCTGTTCAGAACGACAAGTCCAAATTGCAACTGTCCGCTTCCCTTATCCAGACATCGCAAGGCTTCTTGGTGTCCAACAGTGCCCTCGGGGCCACTCATTACAGCATGACAATCCTCAATCCATCCACGTCTAAAAGTTCACCGTGCGTCTCCCCGGCTCAAACTTCTCCCGAGATTTTAACCGCCACCCTGAAAAACTTGGTCATTCCAGTTTCCAAACACAATGGCATACCGTCTTCTCCCCAGACGACTGTTTCTCAAATAACGCCTACGGTTTTAGCAAATCTCGTCCTGAAAGCAAATTCCCAAGTACCTGCTCAAAGTGTGTTGTCCAGCCCGACATCTCCGAGTCAGTTTCATCTGTCTCCTCAATTGATATCAAGGTCTGGGACAACTCAAGTGCAGTATCTGTTGCCATCACTTACTTTACAATCACCTACTTTAAAAGGTACTATACCACCATTTGTCTAATAAATTGTTTATACTTAATTATTCAAATAACTATACCATTTGAACTTACTATACCATTTGAACTAAATTTTACGGCAGGCAACTTAAGTAGGTTGGCTGCTGTGAAATGATTTTAGAAAAATCCAAGTTTGGTATATCTATAAACAAGTATGGTAGTAGCAGAATAAAAGACAGTTGGTTTTTTTTCATTTCCACATTTTAGTTTATTAAAAAAAAATAATTTTTCTTTGTAAGCATATTTAGTTTCTACTTATTGGATTTTGGCACATAATTGTTTTAATAAAATCTTTTTTTTTTTGTGTGTGCATATTTTTAAAATTTCTTTAGTTTAAGAATGTTTAACTAAAATCTCATTAAAATAGTTTTTGCTCAACTTATTGTTTATTTAAGAATTTAAATAAGTAATGTATATGAAATATAAATAAGTAGAAAATTATAATGAAGGAAGTTAAGGGCAAGAGTAGCTAAATATAATAAAGTGGCCACTAAAAAAATTACCATCATTCGGCAATCGCACAGCACTGTTTATTTTAGTCGTTTGGCACCCACCCTAACCACTTCTTAGTTCTAGGAAATGAATTCGCATAATGCTCATAAAAACCTTTATTTTCAATAGCTTCTGTTTATTTTTTAATAAACATGGTGCATAGTGTTTTTAAAAAGTGCTTATTTTCGTGTTTTAAAAATCTCTTTAAAGCTTTACTTTTTGTATTAGGTAAGTTTTGTATTTATGTTATAAAAGTTTTTTCTTAACATTTTTTATTTAACTGTTATTACTGAATTTGATCCTCAACAATTTTTAAATTACCTTGTATACTATTTTATGCGTGTATTTCAAAGAGAAAACTAAAAGAAAGAGAAAAATTTGTAGTTTATAAGAAAGGTGAGTTAAAAGACAATCACTGTGCACACATTATTATCAAAAAAAGTAAACTGAAAAAAATTATTAGTTGTAGAAAAAAGCTTTCAAGTTGTTTATCAATTTAAACTGAAAATTGTGGGAAAATGAACATTTAAATTCACATTTTATAAAAAAGGTATTTATTTTAAAATCACTTAAAAAAACTCATTAAGTCATTTTCGAAAAAAGAGAAATTCATGAAAATTTAACCGGTTGAGAATAATCCTTACAAAATAAATATTTGTACTAGTAATCAGAATTAAACCTATTAAGACAGATATTTTTATCAGTGTGCAATTACAGTAGAACCTCGCTATAGTGAACCTGGGATATAGTGAACACTCTGATGTAGTGAACTTTTTTAGTGGTCCTGCCCGTACTCCTGTTCAAATAATGTTATTTTTAAAGCTTAAAGTGAACAGCTGAGAATTTGGAAATTCGGTTATAGTGGACTCAAATTTCATTTCTCTAAATATCTTTTTCAGTCTTCCATCTTTAAACTTGCTGATGTTGTGACTGAAAATGAATGCATTCTTATCTATAGCTGAAATAAAATCAGCCATATATGTCCTTAATATGTTTTTTCTACAGAAAATGTAGATCAAAAAAATCTTGCATTCTTTGCACATTGTAGATAAGAAAATTTGTGAACTCTATTTAAAATCAAATTGTGTTCAATCAAAAGTCACAAATTTTTTTCATAAAAAAGTGAAATTGAAACTAATTATTAGCTATGTAAGTACTTTTTTCATTAATTTTTGCTTTATTATCTGTTGGTAAGTTAATAATTTTTTAATAACTTATGTAAAAGTGCAAACCTAATTTTCAATCATTCAACTGTCTTAATGCAAAAAATATTCTTCAAAAAATTTGGATATAGTGAACTATCGTTTATAGTGGACTCATTACGGACCATTTATAGTGGACTCACTATAAACTGGACGTTTATAGTGGACGCTATAGTCCGCAGACGGTTCACTATAGCGTTTCGACTGTATTATTAAACAGTGAATAAATTGTTTTTCAAAAAAATGGAATATGAATATGGTTTTTATTCGTATTATATTTTATTTAAACTACTATTCCATTTTTTTCAATAATATTTTTTATTTATATTCTATTTCCACCAATACAATGGCTTTAAGGGATGATTGCTTATTTTTACAAGAAGGGTGCATTAGAGGGCAGGCAGGTCAGGCTGCCCATCTAAAAGACTTATGGAGAACACTGCTTTACGCACTACCTGCTATGTGCTCTTCAAAATTTAAATAAAGTTTGAACCACAACATATATGCAATTTTCTTAGGTTTTAGACATAACACCATTGTTCATGGTTAGAACTATCAAAAACTTGCCAACCTTGGTTAGCAAAATATTTTGTGAAATCCATAGGGCCAAGTTTTTTTTAATGTGATTAAAATTTCAGTGTTTCTGTGATTAATTAAATGTGTTCTAGTAAGTACTAAGTTGTATTTCTATATCAGGTATGGTTCAGATGGCCGTTCCTACCCAAGGAAGTATTCAACTTGGTACTCCAACAACTCATGCAAGTGGCGTGCCTACTAGCATCACTGGGAGTACAACTAAATACATGACAAATGGCCATGGAAGGTGAGTCATAATCATCTTTTTACAATTTCTTTTGCAATAATGTGCTGATGTGGCTTGTGGTCTATGTGCTGATGTGGCATGTGCAGAGAATTCATTTCTCCTAAGCCATGCTTGATAATTTTGCAATCACAGTCAGGGTGCGTAGCATTTTATAAAAGTGCTTTAAGGTGCTTATTTTTTTATTTATGTTTTTGAAAAGCCCTTAAAGATGCTCTTTTTATTTGGGGTTTTTAAAAAGTGTTTAATTTTCTATCTTTTAAAAAGAGATTTTTTTCCTTTGCTGCCTTGATTGTCATTCTAAATTACAAAAAATGCATGATTTTTTTAACACTTTTTTCTGCAATATTTATCAGAAACTAGTTATTTTATCATTATGTAAAGTTTTTGACAATGTTTTTTCGAATTTTATTGATATGTTTATAAATTAAGATCTTTAAACCATAGAAAAAAAAAATTTTTCTTATTGCACAGATCCTAATTATGAATTTTTTTTTTGGAAAGTGATTAAATTTTTTTTTTTTATTTCTTGAAAAATACTTAAAGGGTGCTTATTTTTTGATGAAAAATCTGGCTACGCTTCCAATGATACTGGATTTATTTAAAAACAGAAAATTTTCCAAAATTATGAACTTATTTCGTAATATTTGAAATAATATCTGAAAAAAATTTGGGATAATATCTGAAAATGTGTTTTTTCTTATAAATGTTTTTCATTAAAATATGGAGTAGTAAAAGAAGTTTTCGATTGACGGAAAACCGTGCGACGTAAACTAGAAATGGGGTTACGAATTCCAATTTGTAACTTAAACTAGTGTGTTATGTTTTTTTCTCTATTCTCCGTATATATATTTCCTTTACAAATATTTTATTTTTAAACTGTCATAAAACTAAAAATCTAAATCTTTTTATTCTATGCATTGTCTTTAATCTAAATCTTTTTATTCTATGCATAATGATTTCTGCAGATACTTTTAGTTGTATTTCTTTTTTATATATTTTTCTATGCTGAATAAAATTTTTTTGCCCTCTTTGCAAACTAATGTACACAATATATAAATATAAGAAGAAAAAAATTATTTAAAAAAAGTGATTCTGCATAAAATAAAAGTGCCTAAGAAAAAGAAGGAGTACATAAATTGACATTGGTCTGCCAATTGACTGATGTAAGAACTGTCATATTGGGGGCAAAAAAAAAGAAAAAAAGATTCAATTCAAAAGAAATAAAGAAAAAATTAAAAAAGAAAAAAAAATTTGGATCTGCAAAACAAATAACTTTACTGAATTTATAGAAAATACTTAAATTAAAATGAAGCGACTTCAAACTATTAATTTATTTGAATCTGAACATTTGCTTCATTCTAGGAAATTAAATTCATCTATTCATCATTGTTTCATGCAAAACTATTAGATTTAATTAATAGAATTTTTTTAATGGGACGTTTTTTTTTTTTTTTTTTTTNTTTTTTTTTTTTTTTTTTTTTTTTTTTTTTTTTTTTTGAATTTGTATGTATTGTGGAGGATGGACCTAGATCGACCCTTGATATCTATTCCAAATTTTTACTTATTTTTTACAATAAATGGACAGGTATATTGAATTTTTTTATTCTTTTGTTTTTATTTCAAGTTATTTTATGTTTTACATTTGAGGATAATGGAAGATAGTTACATAATTTGCGCTTTCCTTTTTTCTCTCCCTTGTACGTGTTTGCTGCCTTGTTTTCACGCTCATTCATGTTTTTTATATCTCTCAATTATGCTTATATCTCTAATTTATTGCATATTTTTTAATATAGAGTTAGCTTTTTTTTTAACCTTTCGTTCTAGTTTTCTGTTGTTGTCGAATTTACTCTTAAAAATATATTCTGTCTGCATTATTCAAAGACTATAAAGCTTACTTTTTCGATAATTTTACTTTCAATTGGGTTTAGTCTCTATTAATTTTAACCTTAATTTTAATATTCGAATTAAAAGTTTTAGAATACTTTTACTTTAAGCTTTCGTATTTAGCTAAGACATAAATTTCTAATAATTTTTTATGTTTTCTCTGTAATGTTTGTTTTCATTTTTTCTTTAGTATTAACAAATTTGCTTTTACATTTTAACCAATACACACAAACATAAAAAAAAAAAGCGATATAAATTGGAAAAAATTTTGCAATTTTTTTCGAGGGACTAAGAACATTTAGAACCTCTCAAAACCCTGACAGTACATACTGCAATTCTAGACTGGAATGTTTTAAAAATATCTCTGAAAAAGTCAAGGAATTTTGTTCATCTATTTCAGTAGCAACAACAGTGAAAGTTATTCTGTGTGATATCTTTTATTTTGCACACTATACACATATGACATAGCTAAGACTGACACAAATAAAAACCCTTGAATAAATAGAAAAAGAAAAGAAATTACCATTGAATTCCAACAACAAGATAACACATTACATTAAATTTAAATAAAATAATGAAAAAAGCAATAAATGAATATATAAACAGGCTACAATGACCAATGATAATACAACCTCTAGAAAAATGAAATTAATAAATTAAACTTAAGAAAAATAAGGACATGGACAAAACTGAGAAAACAGACTAGATCAAAATAGAATGGAGTATTAAAAAAAAATGCAAACTAAAGTTTGTACTCTTTAGTGTTACGGACTCGTATTGTGAATGTCAGACCTGTTGGTTGCTGCTGATAATAGTAACTGTCTATTTGTTTTTAGGTAAAGATAATACTTTGGGTTGGTGGTCATGTCGAACTAAAAGTTTCTTAGTATTTATTGGTTTGTTATAGCTAAATCTGCCACCTTTGCTATTTCATAAAATGAGAGGGAGCCTTTTACCCTCACTTAGATCTTGTCTCAAGATTGTTAGACATTATATATCAGTTGTCAGTTTTTAATCTAAAAATGTTACTAAACATTGCTTTGTAAGTGGGGTTGTTACTCCACAGGGAAAACCTGGAAAATACAGGGAATTTAAAAATTCACCTAAAATAACAGCAAAAATTTTGGGAATTTTGAGTTCTTCCTTATGAACTGGGAAAATAAAGGGAATTTAAAATTTTTTTTTCGTCTTTTAAAAGTGGTGACCAATCAACATTATTTGTTTAAAGTATGTTGAGCTGCTTTTTATTTCTTTAAGTTTTCTCAGCAATTTAGAAATAGTATAGTAAGCCCGATAAAGTTCACACAAGAACACTGTGATTGTGTGTTTCCTTTTAATATATTATGACCAGCCTACAGCCAAATTACTAGATGCTCAATAAGATTCTATGTCAAGTCTTAATTATCAGGTGATACTATACAGCTTTATTGTTTTTACGCGACTGAAACCGGTTTGCACTTGCTTATGTTTGTGTATCAATTAGTTAACATTATAATGCAATACGCTAAAAATAAATACAAATGGGAAGTATGTAAAAAATCTTCTGAATAAAAACCCATTACATTTATGTTTAATTATTAAAGTATTTGCATATAAACTCTTGCAAATCATGTCATTATTAAGAAACTACAGTGCGTCTAATAATTAGATCTAATTATTATAATATACTAATATAATACCTGATATAATAAATATTCTATATATATATTATATATAGTCTAATTTTTCGAAATGATACACGAACGTAAACAAGTGCAAACAGTCGCGTAAAAGCAATAGAGCTGTATAGTATTACTTGATAATTAAGATTTTACATAGAATCTTCGAGTGCTTCCAATAATTTGGCCAGGAACTGTATAATATGTACAGGGAATATTTTTTTCAGATTTCAGTGGCAACCCTGAGTATAAACAATAATTTTTTTTTATATTCAGCAGTTCTCTTCTTTCTCCAAAAAAATCGAACAGCACCACCACTTGTATTCAAGGCGTGATTGTTAATAAGCAGAATTCAATTCAACCAGCTGGAACTTCGCAGGTGTTGACTCTCACGTCTGCTGTCAATCCCATTGTGGAAAATTCCTGTTTGCATTTGAACAACATGGCAATTAGTAGTACTCCAACTGCACCCACACAGAGGCTTATTCTGCCGTCTACTGGGTAAAGTATTTTTTCCTTTTTTTTGCATTTGTATTTATTTACTTTTGTTCTATGTTCTAAATTTACTGGAAAAAGTGTTCTACTAATTGTGAAGATATTGATTTCAGTTTTTTTTTCTTTTTGAATATTTGCCCATTAATTTTGTTCTTGTATATTATTTTTGAAACACATTTTTTTTTTTGGATTCAGTGCTTCCAAAACAACGACCTTACAATGCAAACCAAGGGCTTCTGAATTTGCTAGGCTATGACTTTAATTATATACTGTGTGATAAGATTCAATAAAATAAATGAAAACAGCATCAGAAACTAAAATAAATAAATAAAATAAAATAGTTGAGTGGAATTAAAAGCTTTTCAAACTTAGAGGTTGAACATTTCAAGCTATGATCAGGAAGTGTTCAGGCAGAAACAGCTGAAGCCCAATCACATAAAAAGGAAAACTTAGTTTCATTACTTCGTTGAATAAAACAGTTTTTCTATTAAACTTAATCAAAGTAAGCTCTAAGTTTGCTTTTGGAAATTCCTCTCTTGGAACTTCTTTGAGCTCTTTTCAGAGATTGACTGTATTGTTCAAACTCTATACTTGTTTTCGCACGCAGATTTGCTGTAAGCATAGAAAATGCTCTTTGCAGGAGCTTGCAGACATCAAATGTACTATTGGGGACAATGCTCAACATCCCGCGTGTAGACATCAATGTCAACGATACATCGGGAAATATGGTACACCACAATTTCCGATGCTTTGCCAATCAAAACATGGGATTGAGGATGATTGCATAGAATCGATATTTTCCGATGTATCGATTTATCCCCCAGCTCTAATGCCAGTTGTTGTACTTGAAAATTTATTTTCTACTGAAAAGTCCTTGAATTTTGTTTTTCTCTATATGTATCAACATATTAAAGAAGAAATTTCATCTTCAGTGTTGCATAAAATTTAAAACTTAAAATAGCTTTAAAGTGTTATTGTTGCTTTACCCTTTGCTTACGGCTGGTACTAATGGCTTCATCATGCTGTAAGCAAAAGGTTAAAACAGTTATCTATGATGAATTATGTTAAAATTTTCTGTTTCATAATTATATCAATATGAAAATTTAAAGCAGAAGACAAACTTCATCCCCTGGATCTCCTGCAACCTTGACAGCACACCCCCTCATGTCTTCTCCCAGTGTCCAAGGAGCATTGATTCAGTTACAACCCTGTGTAGCAGTTACACCACAAAAAGGTAAGCTTTGCTATATGCCTCTTGTTTTTATTATTTCCATGTTTATGTTGCTTTTTTTTCTAAGAATACTAAAAAACAACCCCATGGTTGAAATTTTTCTCTTACTCTGTTTGAAATGTATAAAAAATAATTAAGTAAAACTTAAAAGGAATTGATTGATACAGATTGAAGTTAGGTGCTGGTAATTTGGATTTTTAAAGTGGCTTTTAGGAGATTGTTCAGTAATTTATTTTTGTAATTTCGATTAAACTAAGTTCATTTGGCTGAAATTAAAAAAAAAAAAAAAATTGCATAAACATTCTTTACATTTTTATGTACCATTAAAAAAAATCTTTAGTGAAAGTGATGAGAATTGTTTAGGTGTGTAGCATTTTTAAAAAAGTGCTTAAAGGTTCGATTTTCTTCTTTTGAAAGCCCTTAAAGGTGCTTTTTTCTCAAAGGGTGTTTTTAAAAAGTGCTTCATTTTCCCTTTTCCAAAATGAGATATTTTTTTTTATACCATATTGATTTTTGCCACGAATTATGCAAAAAGACATTGTCCTATTCAGCGTTTTCACAATTAATTCAGCCTCAATCTATTTCAACATACCATTTATTTTACATGCTTGAGGAAATACTTGCAGGTCTGCATTTGCACATACTGAACTGGATTCAGTGGGAAAGATTTTTATCCTCTCATTGGCAACTCTGGGTGCGTTTTGCAAGAGATTCTCAATTTCAGACTTCATTTTCTGCTCTCTGAAGAACCGAAAAATCTCTAGAATTTTTGCTGATTATGGGGACCAACTAAATATTGTCAAATGTTTTTCTCTTATAGCAGTAGAAAATTTTATTTCTCTTGTTAATTTCATCGTTGGTGACGCGCTATCATCTTCGTCACTGGCGAGCAATTAAAATCTTCAATTGTTAAAAACTTGCCAACCCTCTCTAATTATATATTTTTTTGAAGTGCTTAAAAATATTTTTTTAATGCTGCAAAGGTGCTTATTTTTTGTTGACAAATTTGGCTACTCACTGTTGTTAAATAAATACTCTTTCTGTTTTCTCTTATTAAGTACAGAGTTGAAACAGCTATGCAAATTGTGCAAACTGTTTCTTAACAAAATTTCTGCTCTTTCCTGCTCCAAAATGCCATTTTCTTCCAAAATTGATGCAAGCTGCTCTGAAACTCTAATAAAAGCATTGAGCAAAAAGCTCAACTTAGTGAAATTCAACACCAAATTTGTGCAGAAAATCTGTTTTGTTGCTACAGATCAGCTAACTAATTTTGTTTTGATTTCCTAGATCAGGGATGGTGAACCAATGGCACGCGTGCCACATAAGGCACGCCAAACAATATTTTGGGCGCGCCACAGATCACAATTGTTAATGTACTATGAATTGTTATTACACAAATGTTATTACACTATAAAGAATATGTAACAATTAAATTAAAATTCGCAAGAAACAAATGAAATAATAAGCAATTATTAATTAAAAATTTAACAACTAATGCTAAAAAAACAATAACCATAAAAAACAAGCTAACAATAAATAACTAGCAAAAAAAATTATCAGTCCTGCTTAAACTAACATCTTACAACCTAATATAAGTTATTTGTCACTTATTGTCAACCTAATATAAGTTATTTGTTGAATTACTTATAACTGAGACATTGCAATATGTTTTTTTTTTCATTGTAAATAAAAAGTTTTGAGTTGATAATAATTAGTATTATTATTTTCCTAATAATCACGAAGTCAAAATTATTTTACAGCACGTCTATGACTTCATTAAACAATTTTTTAGAAAAATGGCACATTGGTGTATAAAGGTTCGCCACCCCTGCCCTAGATGTTGTTTAATGCACTTATTTGATAACAAGTTCGGAAAGCTTTCCAACCTATTGAATTGAGTGCATCAAAATATGCCAAATAATTAATTCACTTCTCATAATCGCATGTTAAAAATATCAGAATTAGAAAAAACAAATAGAAGTGGACAGAAAAAGAATGATGCAACAATATTTAATTATGATGAGATCAAGCACGTCAAAAAGTTATTTTTGAATAAATCTTTGACCAATAATTATTATTCAAATCCAAAATTCGCGTGTTGTAATAACATTGTATCAGGCATGTGATTTCTCTGTTAGTTAATAGAATTCCAGGAATCTCACGATTGTAGAATATCGGATATCCGCTAATCTAAAATATAAATTTCATAACTTTCGTAAAATCTTGTTAACAAGGAATTCTTTCCTCTCTTTTTTAGTTTATTTATATTAAATTTAAAATCATTTCTTTTATAGTTTTAACAACTAATAAATGAACTAGTAACATGGAATTCTAAAAATATTTTTAATACCATTTTTAAGCAAGTGAAAAGAATTAAAAGAATTTGTAGTAATATTAATTTATAAATAAAATGAAATAATAAAAAAATAAACGAAAGCTTTCAAAATTAGCTAATAAATAATGGATTTCCAACTAAAGTAATTAAATTCTATATTAAATTGTTGAGTTAATTATAAGTTTCAATTAAAAATTCTCTGTTAACTAAATTTATATTTTTGCCATGTGCAAATCCAATTCGAGCAAATCCTTGGCTAAAAATCGTCTAATAAAGAATTTTTTTAAAAAATAAAAAAGTTTTTTTCCATTAATCTCCCTAAAATCATCAATATTAAAAAAAATTTTTAATTAAAATACAACTTTATTTGTTATAAACTTTGTATTATCCAGTATAATATCTTGGGCTCATCGAGTTCAGGCCAATCCAAGGTAACTAACAAATCTAATGCACTTCTGTACTTTAGTAAGAACGTTAAAAGAACCTTAAAAAGATCTCCTCAAACTCTATTTACGCTTCTATTTTCACATTTTGTAATCTGTAAGCTTGTTATGGAAAGTACTTTAAATCATTTTTAAAGATGCCGTTTTGTCTTAAGTATATTCGAATTCGCTACTCTATTTATACATTACTTTTTATGTCTTATTCTGTATTTTCTTTTTTTTTTCTTATTTAATTTATTTTGCATTTTTGCTTAGCTAGTCAGGGATCTATTTAGAAGTAATTTCTGGACCTTTCACAAAATATTTTGACTTAAAAACTGACCCTTCACAAAATAATTTATCTTTTAATCGGACCCTTCACAAGAGACACTCGAAAGACATTTGCGTATAATTGTGAATGAGAGGGGGAAATTGACTGATGCTGAGTGTTCAGCTATTAATAGATATTTTCAAATCTACTGGCAATCGACGTATATTACTCTAATATTTTGTTAATCATGTTTTTCTGCTTTAATTCTAAGGCTAAGTTTGATCTCATTTCATTTAAATCATGTACCTTAACCTCTTCGAAGTCAAAAAAAATTTATAAATTCCAAATGTAATATTCTAAGAAAATATTTCTGCTTCTACAAACATCGTGTGTACATTCTTATTGATACAGTACGACCTCGAAAATCCGGACTTCTGAAATCCGGAAATCTCTAAAATTTGGACTCATACGTCCAGTTCCTCAGAAAAAAATTTCAAAAGAAAAAATTTAAAAAAAATTGCTTAGAATAAAAAATTTTAATGCAAAACCACAACTCTTCTCCAACAATGAAGAGGTAGAGGTGGGGTGTGAATGAAAGCTCATAGCTGATAAGGAAATTCCAGTCATTCTTATCAGCTCTGTATGGATAACAAAGAATATAAAGGGAAATCCCCTCCTCCTGAAGGGGAATCCCACAACTCTTTTGCAACAATTAAGCAGTAGATGAAGAGGTAGAGGTGGGGAATGAATGAAAGCTCATAGCTGATAGGGAAATTCCAGTCATTCTTATCAGTTCTGTATAGATAACAAAGAATATAAAAGGGAATCCCCCTTCTCCTGAAGGGGAATCCCCTCAGAAGGAGGAATTCTTCCATCTTCTTGTTTTTCCCCCTTGTGATGAAAGAAAACTGGTTCTTTCTTAACCTTGAAGCTTAGGAGGCGGGGACAAGTTCTTTCACCCCCAAGAAAAAAAGGATTAGTATCAGCTGATATAGTCTAGTCTAGAAGCATCTGTTTCGGTTATAAGTTGAAATTCAGCTCGCGTTTTAAGCCTATATTTTTAGTTTTAATTGCTAATATTATGTTATCTAAACGATCGATTGCGGGGGAAAAATGTCAAAAGTTTGATTTTTAATGTCTTTTATTTATTATTTAAAGAGTATATTTATGTTAAAATTGACGTCGGAGGTCTACACACGCGTGATTAATTGCGAAATCGGCCTGGTGAATTCGAAGCTTCGATAATTCTATCAACTCAAGTAAGGTATCTAAAATCCGGAAATTTCGGAAATCCGGACTTTCCAAACCCCCCAGCAGTCCGGATTTTCGAGGTTGCACTGTATTAAATATTTTTTTGTAAATAAAGAAATGAGCAATATATATTTATTCATAAAATTAATTGATAAAATATTATGTAAATAAAATGTAACTTAAATAATAAAGTTAACATTAAAAAAAAAAAAATTATTACTATTATAAATTTAAGAACACATTAGAAGTGATACATAACTAAGTTGTGTTATTTAAGATATGTCAATTGAAGTTATTATATATGTGAGTGATTTTGTTTCCATTATTCATCCGAAATGACTATACTGTGTTGTGCAGTATTGACTAAATACCAAATATTTGTATGTTGCATCTCTAATTTAGTAGCAGCAATAGCTGTTTATTTTAGAAAATTTAAATTTTCTTTATTGTAATTTTACAGTGTTGAGCATAATCTTGTATCGATTTATAATTTAAAAACTCCTTGAAAAGGTTTTTTTGCAATAACAGGACCCTATTTTCACAAATTCACAAAACCGGACCCTGGTTGAAAGAATGTGACTTAACGCTTATTTTTCTTCACAAATTACGAGTAATTTTTTACAATTTCACAAAAATAGGACCTTTTACAAAATGTCTGGACAGACCCCTGCTAATGCTTTTTCCTTTCAAATTTTTAGTTCACTTCACACTATTGATATGTTTTGCTTTAGCTATGTGAATACAATATTAAAAAGCACTTTTTTTGCGGATATAATCGAGTGAGCTGATAACGAGATTATGTCTTTTCGTCATTTTGTTTTTAACTTTTTAATTAATTTTATTTTTTATTTATTGTATCTTTATTTACTGTATTTTGCAGATCAAAAATATGAATTCTTCAAAGGAAGTATGTTAAATAAATGAAAGTATTAATTTCTTAATTCATAGTTAGCATTAACTAATTAGCATTTTTAGTATCTAGAAAATTTAATTTTAATTTATAGGTATATCTATAATATCTAATCTTAATGATTAGCATTTTTAATCATTAAGATTTAATGTTGGTAAGTGAAAATCTGATCTTCAAGGAAAAAGGTTATTGAATGTTTTGATTTTATCATTGTTGCACTGTACAAATTAATTTGTTTATTTGATTGATAGATCCTTCTTTTGTTGCAATCAATCAAGTGAAATCACCGACTGTGAATATAGTCTCTACATCTGCATCTTCCTCTATCAGCCCTAGAACACCATCTGTAACAATAGCCCGAAGTCCACAGGCTAGAAGTCAATCACCTCAATTTTATGCTGGTAAATTTCATGTTTTTATGCATTACTTTTTTTTCCCTCTAAAGTATTCTTAAGTTGAATTCTATGCAGAGGTGATTGTGCTCCAGAAAAAATCTGGATTTTTCCCTAACTGTGCTCCGGAAGTTTCCGGAAATCCTTGGTCCAGGAGTTCCAAGAAATCATCAATCACATTTATGTATAAAAATTCTTGTATATTTTATTTAAAAATATTAGACATAGAATTTATACTTTGATCATACATCTTTCATTTGTAAAAATGTGATTAGAGATAAAAGTAAACTTATACATAATTATTCATTTAGGTTATGCTGTATGTAATTTATTTAGAATTTAATGCTTTGAAAATATCAATGATTTATATTTATAAAGATATTAATCTTAAGACAGCATTCATGATTTTGATTTATTTTGCCAAAAAAATTGTCTATTTTAAATAAGAATAAGTAAAATATTATGTTTTTACATTTTGCTTGATTTATGTTGTAAAATAAATTGTTCCCAAGTCTAATTATGCAATGATTTCTGTCAAAAAAAAAAATTCTTAATTTTTAAGTCAAAAATTATCATAAATATATTTTTGTCCCCTCTGTTACAATTATTCTTTTAAGTTTATTTTATTCATTACACAAAAAACCTTTTTACTTAATAACTGGTTTTTACAATAAAATCTATTAGTACAATCATGATTGAAGAAAAAAATTTTTTGAAAATTTTAAAGTTTCTCATCTAACAGAGGAATATAACAGAGAGGACAAAATTAAATGTCCCCTCAGTTACACAAAATGTAAACAAAGCTGATTGATTGACCATTAAAAAAACAACTCTATTATTGTAAACAAATACTAATGCACCCTGATTCAACTAGTTCCTCCACTATTAGAGCACCCTTTTTATACAAAGCTGTGCCATTTTTGTTTGATAGTGTGTTTAGTTTATAATTAAAAGTTTTTTGAGTGAGTAATCAATATGGGAAAGACAGCAGCAAAAAGAATGAGATAATATGGAACTAGAATGTCCCCCCCCCAAAAAAAGAAGATATTTGTAAGAAGGGAGATAAAGAACATAGAATGAACATTTATGATAGCAGAAGTATTTAGAAGAAAGACCTTAACAGAGAAATAGATAAATTGAAAAAAAAAAGACAAAGGAAAATAAAAATGCACTAATACAAACAATAGAAATTCAGGAAGGATATTCTCTTTATAAAACTCCTTAGACATTGAGGAAAGCTATTAAAAATTTGCATTGCCTGTATCTCCAAGAAAACGGTTTATTGTTCTACACATACTTTGCAATCTTACAACCAAAACAAAAGAAACAGCCTAGTAAAAAAGTTTCTGAAGAAACAAAAAAAAAAAAAATTCTACACATCTGATAAACTTTCTTACCAGACTTTCTGGTAGAGCTGAGTGCATGATTGTCAGAGAAAATGGACAGAAAGTCACAAAGCAAAAAAAAAAAATGTTTGCTGTGCCCCTTGATGGAAGATATCAAGTTTTAAAGTAGATGCATCCAAACATAAAAATTGGCAAATCTAAGTTTGTTCTACTATGACCTATCCATATTTTATGTATAGGTAGAACACCATATAATGTGTGTGCATGTGGTATTCATGAACACGTGAATTTACTATTAAAATCATGCAGTTGTTTGCCTAATAACGACATAAAATTACTAAATATAGCCACTTGCGACAAATGCTCAATAGATTTTTTATTTTATAACCGTCGCTGAAAAGTGACATAAATTTGAGTTTACCAACTACCAAATGTTTAACTCTGTAGCCTTTTAATTTCGAACCCAATCCAAAAGACACGGAAATTCCTGAATCAGTAACCCTAGAGGTATTGATTTGTCATGAGAACTTGGAAGATTTTGTAACCCAACAGATTTAAGGTGCACCAGTCACCATCTAAAACACTGGGGTACTTTTGATGTTGCAATAGATAGTTTTGCAAGTGTAAAAAGTTCAAGAAAAAAATAGGGTAGTTAATTTTGTTGCCCAATTAACTGAAATTGAGAAAGAAACAATGCAATTTTCAAATATAACTACAAAGATGTAGCATCGGTTTACATGTCAGGATATTTTAGTAGTGCTACCAACTCCAACTTTAAATAACCGAAGAGTCACTTTTGACAGTGATATTTTCCTTTTACTATATTTCAAATTTGTAAGACGTCCCCTCTGTTACATTTCATGTCCTTTCTGTTATGACTCATTATTTGGATTTAATAAAAATGTATTTGCAATTTTAAAAGTCTTAGAATAATTTATTTTACCTTGAAATGTGATAATTTTAAAAAACTTACAGGTTAAGTTTAGGATGGTCCAAATCACAGAATTTAGCTTAAATAACAGCGCATGTCAAAAATGTGTCCCCTCTGCTACAAGTACTTTTAATTAACTGTAATTTAATTATGAGACTCTTTTATTATTTTATGCCAATTAAACATTGCACCTTAAAAATGTATATTCTTGTGGAATTTTTTGTTCTCAGAAATATTTAATATATTTTTTGGAATAAAATACTTGTGCGATTTCCCCTCTGTGCTACACTTGGAGTTCAACTTAAGCCATTCATGACTGTGGTCACAAGTACATGGTGACGTGCTTTACGGTATCACACACAAGTAGGGCTGATTGTGATCTGGAAAAAATCCGGATTTCCCTATTTTTCGCTAACCGTCATCCGGAAGTTTCCGGAGATCGAAGGTTCAGACATTTAAAAAAATCATTGATCACAAAAGTTTCCGGAAATCAAATTTTCAAAGGTGGAACTTAGGCCAGAGAGATACTTTGTAAGCTTATATTCAAGATTAATATTAATTTCTTATCAGTAAATAGTTATTATAATCATAAACTCAAGAAAGAAAGACATATTTGTAAATTTCAATTACTTCTCCAAGTCATCATAGGTATGTGTAAAATTTTAAATATATTTCAAGTAAATTAAAAAATATTGAGAAAAAGGAAAAAACCTTGCTTAAGTTTTTTTTCTAATTTTTCGATTTAAACTTCTTTTTTTTTTTTACTCAAGAAATTTTCCGGAATTTTGACTTGGGCTCACAATTACCCCTGCACAAGACATGCCTTTCTTGTAACCCATCATCACACAGGCATGATGTGGAACTGATATCATTTCAAATAATGTCTCACAGGGTTTGACCTTCAATATGTATCTTTCAGTTCACGTTTTTTAATTATTTGATCCAAGCATGAGAGTTACTGCACTTCGGGTTTTTGTTAATATTTTGATTGAGTGGGAAAAGGATGGAAAGCTTTTTGGGTATGGATTTGTTGTTTGCACTCAGTATGTTTTGGGTTAATTTTGCAATTTTTTTAAAAATATCGCAAACACTTAATTACAGTATATTCAGTTATTATCAATAAAAATGAACTATGCTTTTCAGCTTATTTAACTGCAGTAGTGATCTAATATAAATTATTTTGGAAGCCCCCTCTTCCAACAATCCTGACCAGGTTAATGTCTACTAAAAGGATTTAGGCATAACATCCGTAACAAAATTCAGAACATAGTTGCCAACTATTACTATTTAGGTGTTAACTGTTACTTTTTAGCAATTTCTAGAACTATTGTGTGCTTGTAGCAGTTATTTATGACTCTTAGGTTTTGTCCTTCGTAGTTTTCTTTTAAAATGAGATTAAATGTAATTCTGAAGAAAATTCACAATCAAATTTCAATGAATTTCTGTTTTTGTTTAATGTTTTAATGAATAGAAAATTACCAAAACACTTCATTGTCAGGGCTCTTAAATATTTTTAAACTAAATAATAATATAATTATAAGAATGATAATAGTAATAATTCAAACTAAATTTAAGAATTTTTAAAAAATATGCATATCAATACCATTGAAACTATAAGGTTACTTTATTTAATAAGCATGATTAATTGAAAGTTTAGAACAATTCCAAGAAAAATTCAGTTTTCACATTCGTACTATCTCCAGGGGAAAAAAAAAAGTATATATCAAGTAAGAATTCAATTCTCAAAATTTAATTTATGTATCTTGAAAAATCTAAAATTCACCTAACATAGATACAAAACTTCCAAGTTAATTTAAACACATTTTTTTATTTCTAAAGTCATTTACATCCACTTTATCACAGAACCTCAATTTAAAACTTTTATTTCCAAAATTCAATATTGGCAGTAACATCATTAGTTAAAACTATGTACTCATGCTAAATTATTGTAAATTATAGTCCTAAGTTGTAAGAAAAAAATAAACCTGATGTTATTATTTAGTATTATTTATATATGTATATTGCCTTGAATTTTTTTCTTATTCAGATTGCTGATTTTATTAAAATTTTTAGGTGTAATGGATATAAAATCACTTTCTACAACACCTCTGAGCTTAACACCCAACAGTAAAGGTGATCTTACTTTTTCAACTCACACTTTTCTTCCAAAACCGCAGAAAATAAAAGCGACTGTCGCAAATGTTCCTGTTGCTCCAACCGATGTGGAATCTTCATCTAAAGTTGAAATTAAAACAGGTATGTATGTTTCATCCCTTCATGGTTTTTACAAGTATTAAAATTGTATTCAATGAATTTGGCTCATATGACACAAAAATTAATTATTTACAATTTCTGAAGCAACTTAGCTTTAATTCTTTAAAGGGAATTCAGGTACAAGTCCACTTTGGTATTTGAACTTAAAAATCCACTTTGGCAGATGATCAAAGTGCTGAGGTGGTCCAATTAACAGATATTACTATTGTAATAATTTTTTTTTTCTTCTTTTGGAAATGAGGTCCCTAAAAATTATATTTTATGAAAATTCATACAAGTACAGTTTACACCCCTACATGGTGCGTAGCATTTTAAAAAAGTGCTTAAAGGTGCTTATTTTCAATTTTCCTTTTTTAAAAACCCTTGAAGGTGTTTTTTTTTATTGGATGTTTTTAAAAAGCGCTTAATTTTCCCTTTTCGAAAATGAGATTTATGAAAGGGAATGTCGGTTTTCGCTACGTATCATGTAAAAACGTGCCTTTCACACTCTTCTATTCAACGTTTTCAGAATTCATTCAACCACAATCAATTTCAGCTTACTGTCAGTCCATAGCGTATGAAAGCGTCATTCATTTTAAGAGTTTGGTGAAATACTTGCGAGTTCGCATGTGCGTCTAATGAGCTGGGTATGGTGAGATTTTGCAAGTCTGTATTTTGATATTCCCAATTTAAAGCTTCATTTTCCACCCTCTGAAATCGAACCGAAAAATTTCTCGATCATTTTTTAATGGCTAATATAATCAAGATAAGAGTTCTTTGTCAAATTCTAGTTATTTTATAATGGTCATGTAAAGTCTTTGAAAATTATTTTGCATTTTTGTTAATGTATATAGTGCTTAGAAATACTTTTTGAGTGCTTAAAAATTTCTTAAAAGGTGCTTATTTTTTGTTGGAAGATTTGGCTATGCACCCTGCCCTGCATTGAGTGTAATTTCCTAAACTAGCAATTTATTTATTACAAAACTAGGGATCACTGTCCCCTGCTAGCTATTGCTTGCTTGGACAGAAAGAAGAAATGTAATTTCTTTCTTCACTCCATTAAGAGATTATACAGAGAGTTTTATGATCTCTCTATCATATATGAGTAATATATAATCATGGTGCATAGCTTTTTTAAAATTTTATTGAAGGTGCTTATTTTCGTTTTTTAAAAGCCCTTAAAGGTGCTTTTTTCATGGGGTGTTTTTAAAATGTGCTTAATTTTCCTTTTTTTTAAACATGATATTTTTCTTTACGGTGTCGATTTTCACCACATGTTATGCAAAAGCGTGCTTTTCTCATTGTTCTAATGACCGTTTTCACAATTCATTTCGGCGTACTGTCGATCCATAGCGTATGAAAGCGCCAATCATTTTATATGTTTGATGAAATACTTCGTAGTCTACATGTGCGTCTACTGAGTTGGGTTCAGTGAGATTATTGCACTCTCGTGTGCAACTTTGCTTCATTTTCCACCGTCTGATATGGAACCGAAAAATCTATTGTTTTATAATGGCTAATATTATCAAGAAAACAGTTCTTTGTCCGAAACTTGTTATGTTATCATGATCATGTAAAGTTTTTGAAAATTGTTTTGCATTTTTTTTTAATCTATATAGTGCTTAAAAATATTTTTTGAGTGCTTAAAAAGTACTTAAGAGTGTTTATTTTTTGTTGAAAGATTTGACTATGCAGCCTGAAAAAAATCACTTAAACTGTAATACGTATATATTTTACAGATGCAGATAATCTGAAGCCTCAAAGATCCTGCAAAGGAAAACGTTATAGAGAGATGGTTGCAGAAGGAGGAATAAAAGCTAAGAAAAAAGTATTATTTTCCATTTAATCTCTTCATTGCAAATTTATTCATGAAGGTTATTAATTTGGTTGGTTAAGAATATAGAGCGGAGGGGATTGCATAAGTTCTTAACTTTTTGTAGTGTGTTTCATATGAAATGCAGTTGAATCCAGGAATTCCTCGGGACCGAAGCAATCCCTACGCAATAACAAAAACTCGTTATACCGATATTACGAATTTCAACATTAACCAAAATTATTTTGTTATATTGTAATTTTTCGCATTAAAAAATAATGCATATTGGATTTAATTACTGATTTGATCTATTTGTACTGTACATGTGGAAAATATCAAATCAATATTTTAAAAGCTCGCAAAAACAATTTTTGATCAATATAGGAACAATTAATTTATTATCACTTACCTATCAGAAATTACGTACTCCATAAATTTTTTTCCTGTACAAATGATTTAGAACTAGTAGAAATTACAAACTTCTCCAAATTATGTGCATTTTCAAACTGCAGAACTGGAAATCACTCTTTTGGTAAACATTTTTACTTCTTTAAACATGAATGGGTTGGGGGTTAGTCTTTTCAGTGTGGTTCCTCCTGAGTGATTCTTCTTTTTTGACATGTCCCTTTCATATCTGAAACTTATTATTTTGAAGATGCAAAGAAATTTGAATTCAGAGATCATTGTGTACTTTTGAAGAATTTCAGTAAACCAGAACATGAGAGAAAATGAGAACTGTTGCTTATTTTCATCTTCGTTAAATCGAATTACGAATTTTGTAATATTGGTATTTTCAATTCATTGTTTCTATGGAGATTTGAAAAATGTTTGTTACATTGGGATTTAATTGTCTAAAGTTTAGAATTTTTTTTTTCCATTCTGATTCAATTTTAAATCAAGGAAGCTCAAGGGATTCAAAATATAAATGGGATGAAAGTAAAAGTATATAGCGTACTAGCTTAAGTATTAAGTTACAAATAGGAATTTGTCGATGGTGTCACATGGTTTTTCTTCAATCAAAAACTTCTTTTATCACCCCATATTTTTATTGAAAATAAAAAAAATCTAAGAAAAACCATTTTCAGAGCTAACATTATGAAATAGGTTTGTAATGTTAGAAAATTTTTTGTAAAAATTTGTTTTTAGTGTGCAGAAAGTTTTAAAATGTGCTGAAAATGAGTAGTGTAAATCCATTGCGATTGCAAAATTATCATGTATTCAGGGCTCGAAAAACCGCATGTCCACGCGGACGGCCATTTTCCCCTTAATGTTCGTGATACATTTTCAATTTTTGTTATCTTACAAGAATCTAGCGCCTCACTTCTAAAATGACCCTCTAATCTCGAAATACAGCAACATACTGCGTAGGGTGGAATTGATGTTTTCTCTGTCTGGGAGTGCTGCAGTGGTTGAAAGGGGCTTTTCAGCAATGAACTTACAAAAAAACACATTACTTTCTGGTCTTAAACAAGAAGCGTTAAACGCATTTATGAACATCAACCTAAATTGAAAACCTCTTTCAGATTTCTGTTCAGAAACCTCTGTAAATCATTGGCTTGATTGTGGAACTGGAAAACGTCATATTTGATTCATTTAAAAAACGCAGTACCATTGGATAAATTGACATGATAATTGATAGATAACTTAACCTTTGTTATTTAAATTATTTCATCAAAGAAATAAATTATTTCATAATAGAAATACTAGGTTTTACTATTAGTAACCTAGTACTTCTTTTATTACTGTATAATGTAATCCTAGTATTTGTAATCCTAGTAACTACTAATTCATTGTGCAATTTATATAAATGTTTGTAATAAATAAGAGAAAATTGTATTTTTATTTATTGAGAAGCGACTGATAGTTTCAAAGGAGGACGGGTACATTGTTGGACAAGCCGTCCTTGGGGATGGGTAAAATTTCTGAGTTTTTTCGAGCCCTGCATGTATTACTACTGCACGTTGTGACAATTGAACTTTTGAAAACAAATAGGCCATGGCTTATCTACTGGAAATTATTGTAATTTTTCAACTGCTTGTAACTTTTACTTATAATGCGAATTTACATGGCTATAATACCTTTCAGATTAAATGTGAAAGTTATTTTTATTGACTTCTTAAATAAAAGAAAATGTAAGAACAGAATGTTTTCATAATGTTTATCTAATTTTTTGACTCATTAATTTTATTATGATGGATCTCCCACATTCTTCAACATCAATTTACAATCAAACTTGTTTATTGTGAATTCTGGTTTACTGAAATCCCAGGTTTAATGGGATCATTTTTAATAAATAGATAGTTTAATGTAAAAAAAAAACCTTATATAAGTCTCTGTTTAAGCTTGTATTTAACTAGTAATTTTTCATAAACTTCTCAAACTTATTTTTATAAAAGGCATTCATCCTTTTAAAAACTATCACTGTATTTTATGATTATCCACAATTGGTTATAAAGCATTGACAGAAAATATAACACATAAAGCTAAAAATAATAAAATAAAGCTCATGACTTTTCTATTCATTTTTGACTAGTCAATGGTTAAAGTGAAATGAATAATTCTAAAATGATTCAGAATTTTTTTGCCAATAGTTGTAAGAATACTATTTCTTTGTACAAAATTGTTTTTTAATACTGAGATATTTATTTCCTTGTAAAGTTTATCATCTTCAGGTAAATACTGGTCGCATGTGGTTTCCTTTTGTTTTGGTGTCATCAGACTGAATATATAATATTTTTGAATATATATTTCTTCCCTGTGGCAGAATTTTTTTGGACTTTCTGTGACGAAACTCTCTGGCCCTAATATATTTCTGCAAGATACTTTCAGTAATAACAAATATGCATTTTAACTAATATAAAGTAACAAAAGCACTATGTTTACAAAAGCAATATAATTTTTTTAATTGAATATATAATATTTTTGGGTTCTTAAATTATGGACGCTATTCGCACATTTTGTTGCGGGAAGAGGGACGGGACCCACAAATTATTTCCTTTATCGCATTTTGCAAATCATCATCACAATAAAAAAAAAATTAAATATCTTGAAATCTGTTGCAGTAATTACCGAAAAACAGATCGACAACAAAATCATGCGATTTTTACTCTTCAGAAAGGGGTTACTCAAATGCATGTTTCGTTTCAAGATTTGATGGCATAAAAAATATCGGTTTTTCAAAACTATATGGCAATCTAAAGCGATAACTGGCAGTTATTGCTTTTGATCGGGATATCTGAAAGTACTGCAATCAATAACTGCCGAAAATACAATCGAAATGGATTTATGATATTGGCATAAATTGAGCGCTTCAAAAAATTATTATTTGAATGGATGATTCAAATTTTCCATGTAAATTTCTGCAGAAAAGCAAACCAAAATTTTTTACTTCCCAAAAGAAAAATCTTTCTGCTTTCACTGCGATTCTACCCTGTTTTTTTTCTTCTATTGCATTAATAACTTTTATTCTGTTTCATTGATAACTTTTATTTTGTTTCTTATTGCCCTTTCAACAAACAAATCTTCATATCTCCTTTTTTTAGATGTCTTATTTGAAATGTTCAGTATTTAACAAGTATTTTCCTTTTATTGCAGCCTCCAAAGCTGGGGTTTAGTAATGAGGTAAATCCCTCTCCAAATGTCTCAATGCCACAACTGAGTGTATCATCTAGTGATGAGTCACAAGTTTGTTTTGTGCTAGCCCCGACTCCTGCCCAGCTGGGAAGAGCACCCGGTCAACTCAATCATCGGAGACTTTCTTCAGAATCTCAAGAATCTCCTTCTGGTGGTGATGACCCTCAAGAAGCAAAAAAACCCATTCTTAAAAGGATAGCTGATGATGGAATGGACAAGTAATCTAGCATTATTCAGTTTAAGATTGTTTATATTTAGGTTCTCCAGCTTTTCTAGTTTCGGCACCTTTTTGAGATCGTCTTACTGTACCTTAGCCATAATAATTGTCTGTGGTTTAATATTTATTGCATGCATAAATTGCATTTAAAATGTATAGTTTGTCTTTAGTAAAAACTCCCCAAGCCATTCGTCTGGACCTATGGCAGTGACTATGGTGACGATATTTCAAGTAGGGGTGTAGGGTCATTGTTTAGGACAGGTTTTGACTCGATCTGGTCGAAGAGATAAAGGGAATCTTTTTCTTTTATCTATTGTGTTAGTCTTAGAAGGAAGATAAGCTACCCTCCCTGAAATGCGCTATTCTTGTTTCCATAGCAGCAGACAGCCTCAGACTTAGTAGCAGGGGGAGTTCTTACCATAGACAAACTATATGATGGCTATAAGGATAGAGCGTTTGCCTTCAAATAAGATGATCCCAGAGTGCATAGCGTTTATAAAAAGTGCTTAAAGGTGCTTATTTTCAATTTTTGTTTTAGGTGATTTTTTTCATTGGGTGTTTTTAAAAAGTTCTTAACTTTCCCTTTTTCAAAAATTTTATATTTTTCCTTTACCATTTTGATTTTCGCCACTAATTATGCAAAAAGATATTATTCTATATAACGTTTTTATAATTAATCCAACCCTAATCTATTTCGTTGGTCCGTAGCATATGAAAATGCCTTCCATTTTAAATGTTTGATGAAATACTTGTGGGTCTGCATGTGTGTGTACTGAGCTGTATTCAGTGAGAAAGATTTTTGCCTTATCATGTACAATCTGCTGTATTTTGCAAAAGATTCTCAAATTCATGCTTAATTTTCCTCCTTCTGAAATTGAACCAAAAAATCCCTCTAATTTTTGCTTACTAACAACTAAATATTGTCAAATTTTTTCCCCAATATCGATAGAAATTTTTTATTTCTCTTGGTGATTCCCCATCTTCTCCATCACTGGCAAGAAAATGACCTTCTCGCAATATTTTATTTATAAATCAGTACCATAATCTTTGAACTTCACTTTCAGATCATTCTCTAATTACTTATTTTCATGTGGTGCGTCAGAGAAGTGAAGAATCCCTAAGCTTGACCCCCTTAAAATTTCCATCTCCCTTTTTTTCCTTAAATTTAAGAATTAATTGAAAATTTTTAGAATTAATTTTGAGAATTTAGGAACCGACCACCAGTTGCATAAAAAATTTGCAGACTTTTATTGTACTTCGTTACTTTTTTTTTGCTTATTACTTTTTATTAAGTATTGTATTACTTTGAAAATTTTCAATACTCTGAAGTTATTTATATGAGATAATTCAATAATATTTATTGGCAAGATTAAAAAATGTAAAAGGCTTTTAATATTTAAAATGCAGCATAAAATCTTTTGCTTATTACTTTAAAAAAAATTCACCACACCTTCCTCTTTGTCAGTGCAACAGCCCCTTGCAGCTGCCTCAGCAGCTGATAAACTCCAGCGCCTCCTATCCATGGCAACTCCCTTCCAATTTCTAATCCTTAGGGTATTCAGGTCATTTCGATGTAGGGGGTCTACCTCTGGGTCAGGGTGCATTGAAATCTATGCTATCAATGATTTACTTCTACAGTTGAAATTTAAACTCGAAAAAAAGTTATTTTAGAAAAAACAAGCATCTCAAACAAGCCATCCTTTTTTCATCTTTCAAAGCCAACTAATTTTTATGATATAAAATAAAATTCGAAATTAAACAAAAAACATAATTGTTTATTTAAAATAGTTTTATCATTCATAATTGGTAATATTGTTTTTACGCATAATTATATAAGTTGGGATCAATGTTCCTTTGATTACAGCATCAGCGGCGGTAAGCTCTAAGAACCACCAACTTCCATCATTGACCATTTTACTGTTTAACAATAGGTAGCCGCTTCAATACTTCACTTACCTCCTGTTCATTTATTGCTGTAAACAGGTGTTTGGAGATATAGATCGAGAATCAATCAAAACTTGCTGGCAATTATACATCGGAGTAAATAAGTGGGATTGGAGTTCAAATTTGGAATTTTGTTTCTTATTTTTGTCTTTTAAAAAATGGTGATTACTCAAAGTGATAATAGTCTATGGGATATTTAAGCATAGTTCAGCTATACTAAACTACAGTCGGACTTCTATTTAACAAACTTTTCTTTGGGATCCATTTTCTCTTTTTCTCAAAATATTTCAGAACATTTCAAACTTGTTAATGCATTTTATGGGAGAAATTGTTTTTCCAAGCTACTTACTTTTAGAGAAAGCAGTAAAATCCCTTTCCCTTTTTGTTTGCATTTCAAACAAAAAACTCAGACAAAATTAATGGATCTTTCAGTTGCAATTAAACTTAAGAATGTGTGTGGTAATGTATGTTAAAATTACTTTTATAATAAATGCAGCTATAATTTTATATATAAATGTAGCTTTTTTTTTTAGTTGAAAATGTATGTAACATGATAGTATAACACTGCATAATGTTTTGCTCTATTCTTGCTTTCCATGCAGATTTCTTTNGAGGCTAAGTCGAGGATAGCAGAATATTTAACAGCATTGGAAGGTACCAAAAAGAAACTTAATTTGTTAATGCAGGGACCTTCAAAAAAGTGTAAAAAATAAGATATGTTATTAATGGACAAAATTAAAAATTCTTGTTATTAAATTCTTCTTTTAATTCTATTTATTAAATATGCTCCAAATCTTTGTTTTGCTGCTCCAAAATTGCTTTTTTGTTGCTCCAAAGATGCTCCAAAACCATGTTTTGCCACTTGAAGCCCTGCATGTGTTGTAATGTATGTTAAAATTACTTTTATAATAAATGCAGCTTTAATTTTATGCATAAATGTAGCTTTTTTTTTTTAGTAGAAAATGTATGTAGTGTGATAGTATGACACTGGATAATGTTTTGCTCTATTCTTGCTTTCCATGCAGATTTCTTTTATGGTTAAGATTTATAAAATAAATAGTAGATACTAGTTTACGAGATAAATATGTATCAACTCCTATTTTAATTATGTCTGGGGCTTGTGAATTTAAAACCTGTTTTTGTGTTTAAATATTTCAAAAGGTGATTTTCTATGTAACGAATTTTCCATATAACGAACTCAGGATTTAAGGACTTTGTTAAATAGAGGTCCGACTGTATTTCATTTACAGTGGCATTATTTAAGTATGTTCAGCTGTACATGTTTTCCTTAAGTTTTTTCAGCAATTATAACTAGTATAGTTAGCTCGATACAGCTCATACAACAGTTATTGTGTTTTTTCCTCTTAATATATTGTGTATAACATGTACAGGGAAAACACAGGAAATTTTTTTATACAGATTTGAGTGGCTACCCTGTACTATGAAATGTTATTAATTTATTATTTTTTTTTTCTGTCAGGGTTCTAGAGCAAGTTGACTTTGAAGCTCGTTTTGCTGAATTGCCTCAGTTCAATCCTGAAGAATCTCCTTCCTCTGCTGCTTCATTGCCCAATTCACCCAGAGCTTTTGTAAATAGTTACAGAAAAAAAAGGAGACTTTCCAGTGAGTCATTCTCTTCTTATCAGTAGAAAACATGCAAATACTTGTAATCAATAAATTATAATAGCTTCATAATTTATTATTATGCAATTTATATCTGTAATTAATTGTAAATAATTAATGTTATTTGTACTCAACTTGTGGTTGGAAGTTTGGAACCTTTAATAATAATTTTACTCTTTGCATATTTTGCCTTAAATCTGAAACTACACACCTGAGACCAAAAAAAGAAAAGTTATTCTATTACAAAACTTGTTTTTCCTAAGCTGATTTTGGGCAGAAAATAATTTATAAATATTGTGTGCTATTTTTATTATTTTATTTAATGATCAAAAAAGTTACTCGTAGAGTTTAATATTTTTTATTTAACCGCTCATCTGATTATCCCAAGTTAACATGGTTCCCGAGTTAACAATACATTGCAAATATTAATCATCCCGAGAAAACTCAGGAGTAGCAGAACTTGTCAATGCATTTCGTTTAATCCCGTTTTTACACGGTCGGAAGCAAAAAACATAACTTGCTGTAATTGGAAGATTGCCAAATTTCATTTGGAGGTGTTGCTGTTGGATTGTGGGACTGCACACGTGTTTTGTGCTATTGCATATATCAGGGCTGTCCAACTGCAAAGAGCCCACGGGCCAGAATTCCGGTCACTGATCTCCTGGCAGGCCGCAGTTTGAAAAAGTTGAACAATAACATCTTACCTCTTATACAATAACAATGAATAGTTGAATTATTAATTATAAAACAATGGAACAGAAGGATTATAAAACAATTTGCTTACATTTTAATGGGAAAACCGAGGCCGATCAGCCTGGCGGGCCGCACAATATGTTTTAGAGGGCCGCATGCGGCCCGCGGGCCTTGGACAGCCCTGGCTTATATGATGGTTGCTGAATTAACATAGCAATAAGAGTAAAAGAGAAAAAAAAATGGCGTATTCCTTCACTGACGTTTGAAAAGTATCACTTTGTGTTGTCCCTTGTTTTAAGAACTATCATACAAAGACTAATATTTAACTTTTTTCATTTGCCCGAGATAACTCTGGATAGTAAACTGGATGCATGGGTGCAAGTCTTCCGTCCCCAGGACGGATTTCCGTCTTTCGAAAATGTCCGCGGACGGAAGTAAGACGGAAACAAGACTGACTCGAAGACGGAAATCGGATTTTTTTTTCTTTCTGTCCTTAAAAACATTTTTAGGTCTGCGTTATTGGTCTACTTTCTTATGTCCTGTTGTTATTTTATCAAAAGACAGATGAATAAATATTTTTTGTACAGTATTTAAACTTGATGTATTATGGTAAAGCTTTCTTAGATAGTTTGCATATGTCGAGGGGGTATTGTGTACGTTAGGTATTTCAGTCAAAAAATTTTCAGTGTTGGCCTTTTTTCCAACTTGCACCCATGACTGGATGGCAAATTAAATGTTTCTTACACATAAAAAAAAACAATAATTTAAACTTAAAACATGTGCATTAGGTTTTGTTTTAGTTCCTTGTCTTTATTAATGAAATAAAAAAATTATGTTTATTTTTTGCATTTTATTCTTCAAAATAATTGGAAAGGGAAGCAGTTAATCTTGATGAGCCATGATGGATCGGGAGATAAGGCGTTTGTCTTCAAATGAGGTGAACAGGGTTAAAATCCTAGCGATAGCTGGTCGGTACAAATTACGCATCTGGCTCACACCGACCACAGTGCTAACGTAAAATATCCTTCGTGGTAAACAGATCATGGGTTAGAGTCTCCTTGCTGTGTGGCTAACTCTGGGAGGTTTTTGTGGTTTTTCCTCTCCATGTTATGCGGGTTAGTTTCATCAAGAAGTCCTCCATGAAGCCAAATTTCTCCCTATACTTGATCCAGGAATTCCCTTGTCTTCTGCTTGGGTTCAAAGTTTCAAGACTGTGGAGTGGAACAGTAGCTGTAAACCCAAAATTGGGTCGGCTGTTCAATGACAGTTATAAAATGAAATATATAATCTCTATCTAACATGTATTCTTTTTGAAATTAAAGTTATATTGTTTAAAACATTTTATTGATCCATTACTATTCAAATTTAACTATTTCTGTTAGCAAGAACTATTCAATACTACTGTACATCACATTTTTATTATTTATTATTTTTTTATTATTAATATATTCTCAATTAAAGCTGTGTAGCAACTTTAGGATTCCAATCATTTTTAGTCAGCAAAAACGTGCAGATCACAAACCACCTTTCTTGCTAACATGCCTTAGAAAGGCTTTCCTGGTTTTTGACTTTTAATGTAGTTATGTAAATTTAGGATTAAATTCAAATAGAGGGTGTAACTTTGCATAGAATTAAATTTATGTTTTACTTCATTTTAAAACATTTTGAGAACAAAATTCTTTCAAAATCTTTTATGTTTTCCTTTTGTGCAAAAAAAAAGAAAAAAAATTTTAACCTTAGGGGAAAACGTAATAGTAAAAATATCCCTCCTTCCCCTTGTGAGCAAAATTATGCAAATCACAAACCCTTAATCCCACTCGTAAGATGCTTTATTATCTTTGAATGACAGCTCTTTTCTTTTGTTTGAGCTCAACTTACCAATTAAAAAAAATACTAATAGTGCTCAAAGTTGTCCTTAATTAGTAAAAATTTTTTAAATGTCCTGAAATTTTTTGTATTTTCCAAATTTTTGTTAAAGTTAACAGCAAGAATAAATATTATTTATCTAAATAAGAATTGAAGAAACTTCAAATTCAGAAATTTTGTTTTATGCCATGAAACAAAGAATGTAACAAAATGAACGCCTAAGTTCATAGTGTGTCAAGTACGGTATTAGTTTACTTCCTTTGTTAGAGACAATTACCCTTGATTTGATGGTATAGAACATTCAATGTTGGTGAAATATATAAAAACCTCTTATCTCTTTTTTCTCCCATCACTATATCATGCTCTACTGATTTTCATAAGAGAATCCTCTTGTTTTATCAATACTTATGGATTTTCCGTATTTATACTATTTTATCCCACTTATATATATATATGCATAAACATTTTAAGTTTGTAGTGTGACCGGTGCTTCTTGAAAAAGATACAGGAAAATGCAGGAATCATAATATAATTTTATTAAAGTAAGGGCCAGAGACCCATAATGACAACCTTACATGCTGGGTGGATAGGTAGAGAATAGCACATTTGACCTTGGAAAGAGGGTTTTTATATCTTTCTGGACAATATATTTAAATATTAATAGGTCTCAGTAGCATGTGACTGATCAATTTCCCAAGCTACTAAAGCGACATCACATTTTTTGAAATAATTAGATCAATATTATTACTTTCTTGTGGGAAAGGTTTTAAACGTTTGCTCGTTAGATACAAGCACTATTTATGGATTAGATTTAAAATATAATTATTTTAACATTACATAATATATATATATATACAGATGGGTGACAAAATAATACGAACACCTGTGAAATATCAGAAAATCTTTATTAATAGGGAGTTGGACCACCCTTTGACTGAATTACAGATTTAATACTACGTGGGATCGATGCATAAAGGTCATAGACAACGTTTAAAGGAATATTAAGCCATTCCTCTAGCAAAGCGGCCTCTAATTCCAAAAGATTTGATGGAGGTGGAAATCGGGAACGAAGTTTAGACTCCAAATATTGCCACAAATGTTCAAGAATATTTAAGTCCGGAGACTGAGGGGCGAGATGCTCAACTTCATTGTCATGCTCTTCGAACCATGTTTAAACGCACCTAGCGGTGTGGATAGGGGCGTTGTCGTCTTGAAAAATCGGTCGCTCTCCAGGGAATACAGTCTGTACAAAAGGATGAACATGATCCGCTAGAACGCTTAGATAGTCATTGGATTTGATTCTCCCATGCAGACGTACTAGTGGCCCAAGATCACGCCAACATATCGCACCCCAAACCATAATGGAGCCACCTCCATGTTTCACAGTTGGTAAGAGGCATTCGGGATCAAACGCTTCTTTGGGTGATCTCCTGACATAAACGCGTCCGATGGTCTGAAATAAAGTGAAGGATGATTCGTCGGACCATATTACCTGCTGTCACTGCTGTGGGGACTAGCCTTTGTGACCTCTACACCACTGACGGCAATTGAAAGCATTGGTTGCTGTCACCAAGGGTTTACGAATTGCCACTCTCCCATAAATGTTCGCTGCATGAAGTTCTCTTTGAGCAGTACTTGTTGAAACGGGGTCCTGAAGATGATTGTTCATGTCTGATGTTATCTCGGATAACGATTGCTTGTGTTTTCGAGCTACTACGCGCTGCAAGACACGTCTATCCCTATCAGTAAGCTTTGACTTTCGGCCACTGTTTTGCTTTGAAGACTTCGTCTTACCTTCGTTCATGTATGCTGTCAAAACGGCTGATACAGTACTTCTTGCAAACCCTAAAAGGTTTGCTGTTTCTGTCACCGATGCTCCACTTAAACGCGCCCCAACAATCATCCCTCACTGGAATTCTGACAGGTCAGACATTTCACCTTATAAAAGCTAGTTAGATAAACTCATGCAACACAGGTGACTAATGTTGAGAGACTGATGCCTTCCTCTTCACGCTCACTAGGTGACAGACTTCTGTTGTAGGTGGCACGGCTGTACTGCAGGTGTGAAATAAGTCACACTTTTTTACAGGTGTTCGTATCATTTTGTCATCCATCTGTATATATATATACATATATGTATATATATATATTTACATATATATATATTTACATACACAGTTAAAACTGTATATATATATATCAAACTTGTATATTTCTAAAACCTGTATATCTTAAATTTCTAAAATTCCTCACATTTAATGTTTAAAATCAATGTATTTTCCATGGCTCTCTTATCTCAAAATTTTTCTCTCAAAACACCTGTTTCTCAAATTTCTAATAATCGAGCACAAATGTCCAAACAACATAACAAAGATGGTTAGACCTCAAAAATCCTTTTAAAAAAAATTTTTTTTCAGTGTTAAAGGTATGTTGAAATTTTTTTATGTAAATAGATATATGTGATATGAAAAAAAATCTAAGTTTTCTTAAAAATGCTTCTTTTTTTTTTTTTTTTTTTTTTTTTNTTTTTTTTTTTTTTTCTCTTTTGCTTAAGTGCAGGAATTACTGAAATTATTACCAATTGTATATCTGCAAATTCACATTGGTATCCTGGAAATTGCTCCCAATACAGAATCGGCATCCTTAAATTTGGCAAAAATTTAGTTCTTAATTTTTATATTCTGCATTGTGCTAAAGATGTTGTTATTTTTAAAGCTGCTCAAGACCAAGAAGAGGTTGAAGCTATGAAAAGTCCTTGCAAACCCAAATCTCAATCAAGCAGCTCAGAGACAGGTACTCCCAAAACTCCAAAAAGTGCTGCTAAGTTTGAAGGAATAAAATTCTTTGGGCCAAATTTCAGTATTGAAGGTTTGTATTGTTTGTTCTTCGCTTCATATTTCATTACCATCATTAATTTTCTGTGTAGGTTACTTGAATTTCATGTTTTTAAACTCTATATTTCTTGTTCTCTTTGAATTGTGTGTTCTTTTGCACTTACGTTCATAATTTCTATATTTCATATAGAAATTATACGTTCATAAATTCTATATTTCTTATTTCTCTTGTTCTATATTTTTTTTAATATCCTGAAAGTAAATTTTTTTTTACTTTCAGAAAGCGAACTTCTGAATTTTAACATTGTATTTAGATTTATTTTCATGGAATTAATTTAAATGTTAATTTAAGAATAATTCAACAGTAAATCTTCTGTAATTTTTATATTACTTTAGGCAAAATGTCAAGGGCATAATACTATAGGTTATGTTTCCCTACATAAAATAAATGTATGGTATAAAATATTAGCGAATTGCATCTATAATATAGGCATATTCACATGTGTAAAAAATTATTTTTATGTTAGTCAGACAATGTTTAAATTTTACATCAAGTATAAAACTCACTGTGGTTATGAGATACTTATATGTATATATATATATATATTCTTCGTTACTAGTAGACGTCCAATTAGACGTTAGCACTAGNAGCAATAATTATTTTTTTTTAAATATTTTGTTTTTGATTGATTAGATATCATTCTAATACTAAAACATTATTGCCCGAAAAATAATGTTATTTAATTTCTGCTTCTTAGATTCAGATCATTTTAATCTCTGTTTACCTTGGGGGTCTATTATACGGAAAAATCGATTATACAGAGAAAAATGAGAATATTTTGTTTCCAACAAGTGTCTATTTTTAATAGTAGCCACTGTTTCAAAAAATGACAATTCTAAACTATTAAAAAAAAAAACTTGATGTTATTCATGTGAAGAAGTCCTAGTGAAGTATTCTCGGAATACAGTTAAACACTGCACGGTTCATTTCTAAAATGAAAGAAAAATGTTATATATCAACTCTCCAAGAAGGTTTATATAAAATATACGTATTGTATGTAAAATTGTTTAAAAAATAATTAAATACAAAATTGCTTATATAAAATTGTAAGTTTTCAAGTAATGAAATTCAGAATGAGTTTTTGAACCTGTAATGTACCATAAAGTTTAAGTCTGTTGACAAACATAAAATTTATTTGTTACGAAATAAATCTAAATTGATTGTATTCATGATTATGAAATTATATTAATTCGATTACTTTTAAACATTGTTGTCCATATCTTCAAAATAATAAATAATTAAATATATTAATAATTAAACTTTCAGAAATCACAAAAGGAGTTTATATTTGGTGCTCATTCTTAAATTCTTTGTATTAAAGTGCTCATAACTTATTTGTAACTACTATCGAACCTCGTAAATGTGAAATTGGCAAGAGTATCATAATAATTTCATGTTAACCAAATTTCGTTTTATCCGATACATTATGAAAACAATTTATTTTGTATTATTAATACATATTATGTACTACATTAATGTGTGCAAATAATTCTATTATGAACCTAACAAATTAGAATAAGTTGCAAAGTTAGAACTACTTTATTAAACTATTTTATTTACTTGCCCATCTGCTACTTTTAACAATTTAAGAAAATAGAAATAGCATTCCTCAAAATGAATGATTTCATTCATCATCATCAATATACAATTACTATATTATCATACCTAATTATTTATTATCTGTGCTGTATCGTAAGAGGTAATCGGCTTGAAAATTTAATGTTAAACATGTAAAATACCAGGGCTGATTGTGCTCCGGAAAAATCCGGATTTCCGGATTTTTCGCTAACAGTGATCCGGAAGTTTCCGGAGATCGAAGGTCCAGACTTTACAAAAAATTATTGATCACGGAATTTCTGGAAATCAAATTTTCAAAGGTGGAACTTAAAAACGCAGTTTATTTTATTTGTTTGTAAAGGTGAGCCAGAGAGATACTTTATATGCTTATATTCATGATTAATATTTATTTTTTTATCAGTAAATAGTTATTATAATCATAAACTCAAGGAAGAAAAACATATTTGTAAATTTTAATTACTTCTCCAGGTCATCATAGGTATGTGTAAATGGTATAGGTATGTGTAACTCAAGAAATTTTCCGGAATTTTAACTTGGGCTCACAATCACCCCTGAAATACACAGGGGTCTTCCTAGGGTTTTTTGAGAGGCACCTATTTTATGAAAATTAAAAATTATATTAAAAAACCAACACAAAAATATGGTAAAGTAAGAAAATATTTTCATAAATTGTCACTACGAATAAAAATCATTTATGACTGGTAAATTTTTATATATTTTTCCCCATATATTAAAAAATTTTGCTATTGTAAAATTTTGGGCTTAAAATTGTATCCAAATTTGAAAATCAATGTCCATAGTTAGATTTCAACTTGAATTTAATTCAGGGTTCCCACGGTTCTTAAAAGTCCTTAAGAACTGCTTAATTTTTATTTTGGAAACTAAGGGTCCTTAAAACTACTTAATTTTGATACAAAGTTTTTAAAAGTCCTTAATTTCAAAAATATTTAAAATTTTTATTCCTGTTTACTAAATTAGAATGTATGATTTTCTTCTAACAAGAAAGTTAAATATTTGGTTACTATTTATAGTTTGCTTTGTTGCAAAGTAAATTTTTTTTTTCAAAGTTTTAGATTGTTACACTATTATTTTTATTAGTTAAGGATAAGCAAAATCTATCTTACATAAAAATCTAAATCTACTCAATTAAAAGATTCCAAACTTTTTGTTATTAATGTCTATTAAAATCAATTTAAAACTTAGATTTTAACTATAATTTTATTCAGTTAACATTGCAACTTAATATACTGTTTTCTTTATTCAAATTATGATTGCTTTAAAATTAATTCATACTTTTTGCCAGATTGTTTAGTAATACTATGTAAAGTTAATTCCCAATAACAGTTTTGTCTGGAATTATTTTATGTAAAGCTCATCATAAAAGTAAATATAAAAAATGGTTAAGTTACATACTGTTTTCAATAAGTTTTTCATAAAAATGGTTTCCTGATAAGGTGATATTACAGGATTACTTTATAATAAAAGAATACCACTTTCAGTTTTAATCTGTTAATTTGCAATAAATAGAATATCAAATCATAATAATCGTAGAGAATAATATTAAGAATGAATTAAGTTAAGCCTAATGAAGAAAAGTGGAATGATTTAAGGTGCTTAGATATTAGTATGGCCTGTTTTTACTTGAAATAGGACCATAGTTAAGAAAACTACTCTCATGCCTAACTCTAATTCAACTTTTTAGTATTAATTCTTTTAATATATACTCTTATGAATGAAACATTTTATTAATAGAAAATAAAGAATTTTTTTGGTGTAACTGAGTATTTAGCAAGATAGGCCTACAACTGAATATGTGATGCATGTCTCGTAGCAGAAAAAAAAAAATTTTACAATAATGTTTTTAATGTTCTCACATTTCTTCAATTATTCTTTTTTTAAAAAGTAAAAATTTGTGAAAAGAAATTGCAAATCTTAATTTCTGCACGTAATTCAATTTGAATGAAATCATTAAAAATGAAATACAGATTAGTTTCATAGATGTTAACCCTCAACAATCAGAAAATATTTTTAAAAAAACTGATCCAGGTTTGCTAAAATTGCCTGGTACTACTTTGGCGAGCCCTGTTATTTAATACAATTACATCTGTACTTAGATTGTAATAAAATGGTTTTTTATTATTTCTTTATTTATTGATTTTCTTTTATAAGAAAGGTAAATAATTGGCACTGTCACTAAGGGTATATTCGATGCTAAACAATCATACCATTTTTTAGGGTACTTAATTTTTCAAAAAGTCCTTAATTTTTTCAAAAAAAGGAGTCCTTAAAAGTCCTTAATTTTCTCTTTGTTCGAAAAGTGGGAACCCTGTAGTAAAAACATGTATTTACTAGCACTAAAAGTTTTTTTTATTATGAGAGCATCTTCAGCTAGGTCAGACAGAAAAAAGATTCACAAGGAAAAAAATGTTTCATAAAAAATAAGGGTTTGTTAAAATAAATTTACAATAGTGTTTAAGATAAAGTTCAAATGTTTAGAATAATCTTCGAATTTTGACTTTCTGTATAGTTTATAGAGGGAGAGCCTCGTTGTTTCATTTTAAAAAACTCTGCAAAAGAAAAAAAAAACTCGCTTTAATGTGGCTAAGCGACCAGTTAGGCTTACCACATTGCACCAGCTGACTAACCACTTGCTACCTTTTTGTAAAAGACAGCTGGCAGAAAAGCTCCTCTCTTCTGTAGATTGCAATGAGAACTTGTTTTTTTTTTAAAAAGTGTTTTGTGAAACTGCAGTTTTTCCCTAAGGTGAATTTGAGAAGGTACCAATAATCGGTATTAAATTTACCCTAGACAGACCCTTGATACAACATTAATTGATTCCTGTGACCAAACATGTGTTTCATGGAAAGTGATATTTCACTTTAACCCGTTTCACGTTAGTGAGGCAGGGGTCTGTTTAGAAGAAATTTGGGTCCGTTAACGGACCCTTTACAAAATATGTTTTCATAAAAACGGACCCTTCACAAAATATTTTAACTTAAAAACGGACCCTTCACAAAATGATTTTTCTTTTAATCGGACCTTTCACAAATTTGTTTATCTTCATTATTGTTTTGTTAATCGAATAAACCCTTCCCAAGGATGAAAACAAGAAAGACAGATGTAAACGAATTAAGTTATGTCTTCGTCAGATGCTTCTTCCTTTATTCATCCGAAATGAATATTCTGCGTTCAGCAGTGTAGGCTAAATACCAAATATCTGTGTGTTGCATCTCTAATTTAATAGCAGCAATTGCTGTTTATTTTTGAGAAATTAATTTTTCTTAATTATACTTTTACAGTGTTGAGCATAATCTTGTATCTCTTTACAATTTAAAAACTCCTTGAAAAAGTTTTTTACAATAACAGGACTCCATTTGCACAAATTCACAAAAGCAGGACCCTGGTTGAAGGAATGTCACTNGAATTTGAGAAGGTACCAATAATCGGTACTAAATTTACCCTAGACAGACCCTTGATACAACATTAATTGATTCCTGGGACCAAACGTGTGTTTCATAGAAAGTGATATTTCACTTTAACCCGTTTCGCGTTAGTGAGGCATGGGTCCGTTAACGGACCCTTAACAAAATATGTTTTCATAAAAACGGACCCTTCACAAAATATTTTAACTTAAAAACGGACCCTTCACAAAATGATTTTTCTTTTAATCGGACCTTTCACAAATTTGTTTATCTTCATTATTGTTTCGTTAATCGAATAAACCCTTCCCAAGGACGAAAACAAAAAAGACAGATGTAAACGAATTAAGTTATGTCTTCGTCAGATGCTTCTTCCTTTATTCATCCGAAATGAATATTCTGCGTTCAGCAGTGTAGGCGAAATACCAAATATCTGTGTGTTGCATCTCTAATTTAGTAGCAGCAATTGCTGTTTATTTTTGAGAAATTAATTTTTCTTAATTATGCTTTTACAGTGTTGAGCATAATCTTGTATCTCTTAACAATTTAAAAACTCCTTGAAAAAGTTTTTTACAATAACAGGACCCCATTTGCACAAATTCACAAAAGCAGGACCCTGGTTGAAGGAATATCACTTAACGTTTATTTTATATTCACAAATTATGAGTAAATTTTTCACAATTTTTCAAAAATGGACCTTTCGCAAAATGTCTGGACAGACCCCTGACTGTATTAAAATTGCATCACATTATGCAAAAATACATTCCTTACTTGAAATGTTTACACTTTCAGAATTCACGGAGGCAGATATATCTGGCGCTCATTCTCCGAGAACTCCTAAAACACCGAATGATGGAGAGAAAGGTCTGTCTTCACAGAGGAGAATTCTGGACACAAGAAGGAGCTTGGTAATGCAGCTGCTAAAAGATGTTGGCTTATTTCCTACAGGTGAGTTTATTTTTTTCCATTGTTGCCAACTCTACTGAAAATTCTTCTGGTTTTTTGTAAATTTTCGAAAATTCCCTAAAACTGAGTAAGTTTCCTAAAAAAATCCCCATTGAAATAAAATTTTTGTACATATTATATTTTGCTTGCTTAAATATTTAAATATGTGTTACTAATACATAATGCAGCGAACCTCATTTATATAAATTCGATCAAAACTTTTCTTGTTCTAAAATGTTCAGTTTATTTTTATTCAGAACCTTTTTATATTAATTAAAAAAATCTTCTAAGTATCTTTAATAAATTTAATGCCTTTTAATATTCAAAATTATGAATATACATAATATTACAAGTATGTTTAATGTTTATCATAACTGAAAAATATAAGTTTTTCTATTTTGATGCCCATAAAAATCCCTAATATTCCCTATGTGTAAAATTTTTAGTACATTATGCGACAATTATCAGGAAAATTAAATTTCGTAAAATGTACTGGATTTTTCCCTATCCATGTTGCTAGCTTTGCATTTCCAATAATTTAGAAACATTTAGGATTAAGTAGCTAGCATAGTAGCTGAATTGATGAGAATTTTTATAGGTTTTAATTAGTGAAGCCATTGCTATTGTCATGGGTGAGTTCTTTCCGCTTTTAGGCAAAATTTTACTTTTTTTTTTCCAATTTATTTAAATGAAAATTTCTGCTTTTTCAAAGGAAGTTCTACTATTTCAAGCTCCATTCCCNGCCCCCTTCCCCCCCCCCCCCCCCCAAAAAAACTAATTTTTCTCCTATATAAACGTGATTAAAATTATTCATGCGATTTCAAAGTACACATCGTGATTTTTAATTGCTAGTTTTAAAATTATTTATCGCTATAAATATTCACGTGATTTAAAAATCTAACATCAAGATTCGTATGCACACAATTTTTTTTAAAAAAAATTGTTCATCATTCACACTTCACAATTTGAATTCATGCTATTTAAAAGTACATATCGCAATACTTATTCACGCAGTTTAAAAATTATGCATCATGTTCTGTTCTCATGATATTTAAAATTGCACATCACCCATTCATATTCATGTAATTTAAAAACCTCACATCTGGATTCATATTAACGAAATTAAAAAATCACCCACTGAAATTTTTACTCTCACAATTTAAATAAAAAAAATCATGCACCAAAATATTTTATTATAACTGATAATATTCTGCAGATATATTCTTAATAATATTCGTCCTACATAATCTTGCACAAATTTCAGGTATTTTTACAATTATTCAAAAAAGTGTTATCCACATAAAATTTTCGTTTTCATCTTTTTTGGTTTTTTACGAAACTCATCCCTGTATTAGGGTTGCCACAGGCGACTAAAATGCAATCTGACCTGAGGCAACTTTTTTTGTCTGAAAAGACTAAAAAAAGTAACCATTTTCCGAAAAATTATTGTGTTATTAGACTATTGGGAGACTTTATTGTGCTCTTAGCGATGTTTTTTTTTAAAAGCATAAATTGGGATAACAACCTGCGGCCCGCAATAGCTTCTGAACATAATGAATTTTTTTTTCTTCAAAAAAACATTTGCACATTTTTGCGAAAATTTGCAAAAAATGCAAATTTGAGTCATCACTTTTTATTACGCTTAATTTGCACAGATTCTATTATGAGTCTTATTTTGTTTCTCGATCACCTTTTCAATGGTTACAGCTACAAAATTCTGCATGATTTTAAAAGACACAATTTTTAATACGATATTAAGGTGTGTGAATTTTTGAATTTGAATTATCACTTTTCACAATATATATAAATTTGCTAAATCAATTATTGGTTGAACTGAAATTTCTATAGAAAAAGTGTTTTTTTAATAGAAAAATATTTTCTTGAATGATTGCTAGTAATTAAAAGTATTTAATTTTCTGCAAATATACAAATGTTTTTGATATAAAAATTTAATGCTGGAACATTAATGTTTACATAAAAATTATCATATTTGCCACCAACTTGACTGAATGGATCATNTAATTCTGGTGGGGGAGTACTGTAGTGTATCTTCCACCCGCCGATTCCGGATACGCGACTTTCCACTGTATAACAATTACCTAAGTCATTTAATAAAATTTTAGTCATATTTTTGTTCTTATTTAGGCAACTATTTTCATAGTTTTTGGCAACTATTTTCATGCTTTAGGCTACTAAAAGCAACTATATTCATTTTCTTCTGTTGCAACTATGCTGTATTGTAATTTTTTCTTTTATTTGTAAGCTTGCATTTCTTGATATATTTACACAATCTATTTAAATCATGTGTTCTATTTTTAGCACAAGAGACTGCTCAGTTCCAGCATGTCCACCAGGAAGCATTCCCCACCAAAAATACTCTGCAGTTAAAAATTCGTGAAGTACGACAGAAATTAATGGCCCAAAATTCTGGAACACCTCAACCCCCTACAACGCCCACTGGTGGCACCAACGGGTGCGTGTCATCTCCATCTCCCCACACGCGACCTGACATTGTGGACGCCGTGTCCCGCCCTACTACGAGTTCTCAGAAATTTTTAGCCCCTGGTCCCGTCGTCGTGAACAGCAAGAATCGTCCACCCCTGATACCCTCTCCTTTGAGCGAGGAGACAAAGAACAGTTCTAGCTTGCTTCATGAAAAACTAACAGAATCATCATCATCAGTGTGCTTGAACGAGCAGAGCTGATAAAGCACTTTGCAAACCTGATTTTAGCTGCTGATAAACTAAACTAGTCATGTCACTTTTTAAGTGCTTATTTATCTGATGTATGAAATGACAATTTTAACATGTCTTATCACGTTATTTGAGTTAAAACAGGGTGTCTGGCAATTTGGAAAAGGTAGTTAGAGTGCTAATTTCTATAAATAGCCCGGAAAATGATACATTTATAAGTCAAAGAAAATTTAAATTCCTGAGGAAAAAGAATTTTCCCTCATTGCAATTATCATTTTTTAAATTTTCAAGATGAAATGCTTTTACACTTTCTTGTGCATTTATTTATTTTCTCTCTCTAATCCTTGTGTAATCCAACTTGGTTAATTTGTTGTGCAATAAGAACCATATTTAGTCAATTTTTCCCCCCTTAATTGATACATATTTAGTATAAATGAGTATTATATGCTAGCAAATAAATATTAGAAAACATTATTTAAATAAAATTAAGTGAAGCACGCTACTACAGAATTGTTCATTAAATAATTTACTTAATTTGTTTTCTTATAAATATGTAAAAGCTAATTTCCTTTTTTTTTTTTTTTTTAAANATTTTTTTTTTTTTTTTTTTTTTAAATATTAAGTTGATATTTTAATTTTGTTTTTTAGTGGAAGTGTAGCTAAAAATCTGACATTGTTTGAGTAGGTGCGCTTAAGGCTAAGTTTAAATTTGTGTGGTTTATTTAATACTGTTTAATAATTTACCAACTACAGTGAAAGCTTGACTATCCCAGATAGGCAATTCTAGCAAGATGAAAGTTTGATAATTGAGCACAAAAATTTTGGTTTTCTAAATTACCTTATTTTCTAAGTAATTACCTCACTTTATTGTTAATGCAATAATTATAATAATAAGAAAAAAAACTGAAGTTGCAAAATGAAAAAAAATAGATTTAAAAAAATTACTAATTTTTTTAAAGTTTGTTTAAATGATATCTTTCATGTAATTACATATGATTTGCTTATAAAACCAAAACTCTTGGTGTTCTTTATTTAAGTATTTACTGGAAAAAAATACCACTTTATTTTGACTACTTTCAAAAATTCTGCTTGCCATAAAAAAAAAATTTTTTTTTAACCTATAGACTGTATTTTGTAATTTTTTTTTATCAGTAGTAGATCCGTAGATTGTAATTTTTTAAATCTGTAATAATCCCTGCAAATTCTGCCTTTAGGTTTGTCAAATTCTAGCTGGTTGGGCTTTTTAAAAATATTGTGTGTGCGTTTAATAAAGTGAGAGAAACTTAATCTGAAACTTTGCCAGGCACCTTGTTATACAATAGGATTATTCGCAGCAATCAAAAAAACATTATTTCTTGTTGTTGTTCTTATCTTATCTGATAGATTTATGGTTTTAAAAATCATTTGTTGTTTTTGTTGAGACATATCCACCTTCATTCATTTTTGTAAATACTCATTATTAATACTTGTTTTTATTTTTTAAATCAGGGATGCTAACTATTATTGATAGTTGTTATCTTAGTTGTTATTCTTCTAATTTTAACTTAGTGTTATAATTTTTAAGGCTCCTTGTTGTATACTCACTGTGACTTAGCTTCTTATGAATTTCAGTTACTTTAATTTCAAATGTCACACATATTTTATTATGAATTAATGACATAAATGATTTTAAAAATCTTACTTTAATGCTTTCTTCAAGTAGTTGACATGGTTCAGTGTTGAAGCAACTAATGGATTTCTTTAAGCTTTGAGAAATACCATTGTTTTTAAGTTTGTTGGTCATGGTATTTTCGAGTTTAGATTTGTTTTTTGTTTTTTTAATATATATATATATAAAATTGGATTCAGTTACTTTAATTTCAAATGTTACACATATTTTGTTGTGAATTAATGACATAAATGATTTTAAAATCTTTACTTTAATGCTTTCTTCAAGTAGTTGACATTGTTCAGTGTTGAAGCAACTAATGGATTTCTTTAAGCTTTGAGAAATACCATTGTTTTTAAGTTTGTTGGTCATGGTATTTTCGAGTTTAGATTTGTTTTTTTAATATATATATGTATAAAATTGGATTCAGTTACTTTAATTTCAAATGTTACACATATTTTGTTGTGAATTAATGACATAAATGATTTTAAAATCTTTACTTTAATGCTTTCTTCAAGTAGTTGACATGGTTCAGTGTTAAAGCAACTAATGGATTTCTAATTTCTTTAAGCTCTGAGAAATATCATTGTTTTTAAGTTTGTTAATTATGGTATTTTCGAGTTTAGATTTTTTAATTTTTTTTATATATATATATGCAGGGTATCCGCCCACCTGGAAAGTCATGAATTTCGGTATTGAACAAAATTTGTCATGAATTTAACTATTTTTTAAAAAAAACAACATGAAAAGTCATGGTTTTAGGTCGCTGAAAAATCTAATTTATAAAATAGAACTTACCCCCTCTACCCAATTTCACAGTGTTCCGATTATCTGAATTTGTAACATAATCTCACTCACAGTCATATTTGATTAAAATAAAAAATGCTTTTATCGTGTTCTTTAAAAATTATGGTGTTCTTTCAAAAAATGAAAGAAAAAACATCATTTCTAGAGCGAATTATCTTTTAAAACTTCTGTGATTTCTGAATTTTTGTTATTATTTATTGCTTTATCAATTCAAAATTTTAAGGCAATTTTTATTCCGAAATGAGAACGGAAAAATCGGGTATATTTTTTTCCTTTCCGATGAACAAGAAAAGTATCCTTAGAAAAATTTAATTCTACAGAAAAAAAGAAGAAATTATTCACTTTTGTATTTTTTTCAGCTATTTTATTGCTTCGACTCTTTCTTTACTCTGTTTTTTAATTTTAAAATCTGTAAATATGAAGATGCAGAGTATAACAGTTTTGGTTATACCTATCATTTCAATGAATGTTTTTTAGTGCTTTTTTAAATTTATTGTTGTGTTTTTGTTGCAGAAAATAGTAACTTCGTTAAGTCATGAAAAATTCTTGGAATTAGTCATGGAAAGTCATGAATTTGAAAATCTAAAATGTAGCAGATACCCTGTATATATGCACTTGGATTTGTTGAGTAAAAATATCGTAAATGAGTAGAATGTTTTTAAATTTTGATAGATTACACCTTAAACTTCAATAGCTTAAAGTACAGGGTGCGTAGCATTTTTAAAAAATGCTTAAAGGTGCTTATTTTTGATTTAAGTTTTTTTAAAAGCCTGTAAAGGTGCTTTTTTTTATTTGAGTTTTGTAAAAAGTGCTTAATTTTCTTTCTTGGAAAAAGATTTCTTTCATTGCTGTTTTGATCGTCGTTCTAAATTACAAAAAATGCATTATTGTCACAATTTTCTCTGCAATATTTATCAGAAACTAGTTATTTTATGATTACGTAAAGTTGTAAATGTGCTTATTATTTGTTTAAAAAACTGGCTACTCACCTTGAAATAGATAAAGTTATTGTGTAAGTTTCATAGCTTGGAGTCTACTCCGAAATATTTTGACCCTGCCATTCAAATATTGTTTATTTTAAAAAATATTCATTTGTTTTATTTATTTAAAAAACAAAAAACTGGTGGAGATATTCTCTCCTTTTGTTTTTCTTTTATAAAAACAGTTTTGTTTTGCTTTAAAGTGTTTTAAAAAGAAACCTTTAATTAGAATGCAACATACAATGCTGCACCAACTTTTTTCTTAATTGTAACTTATTCAACAAAATGAAAAATCATTTATTAGAAATGCATTAGGGAATTTAAATTTTGATTGAAGAGCGGTGAAATTAGTAACACAAGCCCCTAAATTTCTGTAGGTTATGAGTTGAATATTTTTTATTAAGATTTTAGCCTTTTCTACATAGCTTTTTTTTCCTGACAGAATCATTTAAAATATTAGGGATTATTAAGTAAAGAATTATGACAAGTCATAGATGCTATGAACTAGATTGTTGAAATGGGTGTTTTTGTTTAAATTGTTGAAAGAATTATGAGCACTCTCCAAAGGCTCTGGGTTGCAGAACTCGTGTGGCAATTTTACTCATAAAATATTAAGTTATTCTTGTTATCTTTAATTTAAAATGTTATAATTATTTGCATTATATGTTAGAAATTTTCAGTTAACTTACTCAAAGTATTTTACAAAATATGTATTTTATTAATATTTTAAAAAATAGTTACATCTTATATTTATTACTATCTGTTAAGTTATTGTTTAAATCTCTTAGGGAAAAAATTTCTTTCTTCACATTTTTTTTTATTGCTTTAAAATGTTTCAATATGTAATGCTATAAAATTAGTATTATTGACAGTTAAGGGTTATTTTAAAAATATAATAATACCTTAAATTGTTGGCATTCCTGTAAGATTCTTTTTAACCTATTTTATGTATAAAAAGTCTAAGGAGTAAAACATATATTTATTGTATGAGCAACAGTTTTAATGGAACTGCAAAACAATGTACAGCAGGTAAACTATTTTTTATATCTGTATATAAAATCACCTGTGCATGAAATTATTACTTGTGACTATGTATTAAATCTAATTAAATTGTTAGTTTTGATACTGATTGTTGTAAATCAACTCCTGTTTATTAAATATCTATCACTCTTTAAATATACAGAGGTGATTGTGCTTCGGAAAAATCCGGATTTTTTGCTAACCGTGATCCGGAAATCCAAGGTCCAAAAGTTTCAAGAAATCATCAGTCATATTTGTGTATTAAAATTCTTGTACATTTTATTTAAAAATATCAGTTTTCTTGACCTTGGGCTCTGGGGTGCAGGAGCAGATGTACTGGTCAGGTGGTCAGCCGAACGCGGAACCCCCTGTGTTTAGTTCCCAAGCATGCTTAGTACTCATTTATTGACCCACTGAAGGGATGAAAGGCTGAGTCAACCTTGCCCGGCCCGAGGATCGAACCAGGGACCTGTGGCACGAAGCGCTACCGCTCAGCCACCTGGCGTCATTTAAAATCATTAGAACTGGAATTTATACTATAATGAAATTAATTTTTTGAAATGCATCATTAATGCTTTACTCAAGAAATTTTCAGGATTTTTGAGTTGTGCTCACAATCATCCCTGTAGATATGAACTGATATAAAATATAAAAATTGAATAAGATATTAAAATAAGACTTATAAACAAAAAAAAGCCTGTTCAAGGTTTCCACTCCACAGGGAAAACCTGTAAAATACAGGGAATTTAAAAATCACCTAAAATAGCAGGAAAAATGACGGGAATTTTTTTCTTTTCTTTACAAACTAGAAAAATATAGGGAATTTTTTCTTGTTATCGTCTTTTAAAAAATGGTGACCACTCAAAGCCTAATCTATGAGATATTTAAGTATGATATTTAAGATAACAACAACTGGAGAAAAAGATATAATTTTGATATATATGAGATCTTTAATAGTGATGATATCATATAATCTATTCAACTAAGTAGAATGATATTAGCCAGGCATGTAGCCAAGGCCTTTTTGGGCCAAGGTAAAGGCCCAAAAAGAGATCGAAAGACTGTGGATGAGGATTTTGCCATCCTAAAAGTAAAGAACTGGAAATCAATTCCTGGGAGCAGGGTAGAATGGGAAAAGCTTCTGAGGAAGGCCCAGGCTCACAATGGACTGTCATGCCAATGCTGATGATTTCAGTTATCCTAAACTTTTTCATTTACTATAGCATTAAGTATGTTCAACTGTTCCTTTTTTCCCTAAATTAAAATTAGTATACTTAGTCCAATATAGCTGACACAAGAGCTCATTAATTGTTGTTTCCTCTCAATATATTGTGTGTAATATGTACAGGGAATTTATTTTTTCCAAATTTGAGTGACAACCATGCTGTTGTTGCATAGTAGTTTAAAATTTGAGTGACATTATAAAATATGCCGTTTGTAAGATGGAAATCAATTAAACGGATGGCTTTAACATATTTCTCTACCCACCATGCTTTTTCTGATCTTTAGGCTAACAAATTTTTTGTGACCAAAAAGAAAAACCCGTTTCTTCTAAATTTTTGAGAAAAAATTCTATACATATTTACACACAATGCAAAATGCTTTGACGGTTAAAACTCACCAAACAAAATTAATTTTGGCAATAATTTTTTTTAACCTCTGGAAATAAAGTAATCATATATCAAATTGAAGGCAATAATTATCACGTTAAAATGCTACATTTTTTATTCTTGTTTTTAATATTTTTTAATTTAATAGACATGCTCATACCTGCCAAGTCTCCTGTTTTTTCACAAAGACTCCTGCATTTTACGATTATCTCCTGTTTACCTGTATATTCTCAATTTTTCTGTTTTTGTTGAAGAAATTAAAAAAAAAATAGTAATAATAAATTGATAAAATATTCATTAATGGCAAAAAATACTTCTCTTATTCCTCAACAGATGGTGCTATAGCCAGTACTGCGGTATGTTGAGTGTTAATTATTTAAGTCGAGCCAAGATGGCTCAGAGGATTGAGCATTCTCCTTCCAGTGAGGTGAACCCAGGTTCGAATCCCAGTGATGACTGGTAGACACAAATTCTGCACCGACCACAGTGCTGACGTGAAATATCCTCAGTGGTAGATGGATCACGGGAATAAGTCTCCTTCTCATCTGGCTAACCGTGGGAGGTTCTCGAGGTCTTTCTCTCCGTGTAACGCACAGACTACTAAAATGCGACTATTTGCTACTATATTCGGCCTTAGGCGACTATGGAGACTTTTTTTTCCTGAAAAGTTTAAAAAAGCAACTATTTTCAGGAATAGGCGAGTATTGGGAGATATTTTCACTCTTACCGAAGTTTTTTCGCAAAAATGAACGTAACTTTTCAGAACATAAAAGAAAGCAAACTTTTATACAATCATTTATGTCCGAAAAGCCAAAAATTTACATTTCTATTAGATTTAATATAGTACTTGTTATTTTTTCTCTCTGAGGGGCAGTTTTGTTGTTTTTAATTGTTTTTTCCTTCTATTAACATTCATATTTTATTGTAATTCCACTTTTATTTAAGTACCTATTTTCTAATATGTATACCTTTTATGTTTATACAAAACTTTTTTTTTAATTGGAGAATAGTTAGGACTGGGCGATAAATTGATGTATCGCGAAATATTGATTTAACGCAAATATCGGTTGGCAGATATACTGACTTTCGTTTTAGGCGATGCATCAGAAATCTCATTTAAGCCGCCAGAATAAGACTACAATGGCAGTTTAATGATTTAATATGCAAGGATCCTTGACTATGCTAACGCTGTTACCCCACTGCAGAAGACGATTTTGATCTCGTCTAGCTGCAGAGATGTAGATAGCGTTTAACTATAAGACGATGTTAGTTTCGTGATGTTGAATGACGAAGAGCGATTTGAATCAGCGTTGTAGTATAGAACGCAGTGCTTAGTTTCTTTATGTCCATTTTTGTCTTCGGGAATTTGCGTTTTTCGAAGATTATTTTCAATGGGACTTCAGTCACTTTTCGATCGTTGTGCATTTTATTTGGTCGGGAATAATTGTCGGGTTTCTTTTAAATTATTTACAATGAGACTTGCTACTAGCGATCGTTTCGTTCTGCATTATTTCATACCATTTTTTTTTCTGTCTGGATTTAACGATTCTTGTAAA